CCAATAATTTATCTACTGATATAGTTACTTACCTTATATATATTGTAAATTAGACTGGTTTGATTTTTAACTTTTTTTTATCGATTTAAGACTGGAAATTGTTTTTTTGTGGTTTTAAACTTGACTATATATATATATATATATATATAAAAAAAACGTTTAGAATTTGCATATCGCATATTTAGATTTTCCATTTAAATAACATAGGAAAGTAATAATATTTTCAAACCTTCAGTAAGGCGCACGGAATAAATATTTACCCCACTAATTTCAAATTATGTTTGTATGTTATTTTGGATGATGTGTGACTGCTAGCATTTTATCTACCTTCTATTTATATATTCTGATTAGATAATAATATAAAGTTGACTATACGTATTTGCCATTAGTACGTGAATCATCAGTGTACTTTGAATTCACGCATGTCATTTTTGAAAAATTTTTCCCCACGTGGGGGAATTTTCTTTTTTTTTATCGCTTTATTAATATCTATATTTTTAAAACTGAAGATATAAAACGACGGTAAATTGAAGCATTTTAAGAAGAATTTGATGACAATGGTGATGTTTGAAGGGGAGGGAAAATTCAAGTAATGAAGTGGAAGACGATATTGAGATCCTTCAAGGGAATCGCCAACGTCATAGACAAAAAAGCGACAAAAGTGTGCACTAATTTTGCAAAACTAATATCAAGAGATCATTTAGTAGAAATATGTCGTGAAATTGTAGTGTTATAAGAATAGCTCATTTGTAGAAATCTTAAGAAAAAACTATGTACAACCTCGTAACTTTTAAACTTAATAAGTAAATATGATTTAATTGAAAGTATCATTACTTTCCAATGTTATTTAAATAATAAACCTAAGTAAGCAAGTTCTAAACAATTTTTTTGTGCTCAAAATTTTCTTAGTCAAGTTTAAGACTCCGATGAAGCAGTTTTCACACTTAAATCGAAAAAAAAGTTAAAAATCAAAACAGCCTAATATACATATATTATCTTCCCAAACTTCTCAATTTCAATTTAAATTAATAATAACTTGCTCGTTATCAATTGTATGTATACAAATTCTCATAAAGATTTCACCTTGCACAATTAAAGATTGTTAAATGCAAAAATAAATGTGTATCAGAATATAATCAGACAACTGTATTATCATGGTTGATGAAAAACTATGTCATGATAAAGTATACTAAAAAATCACCACCCAGAGTGATATCAAGGTGTTATTTTTCAAGCAAAAGCTGATAACAAGCAATCGACTAATAATCTTACTTTCACCAATAAATGTTATTAATTTTAAATTATTTTATATTAGTACGATTTATTGAAATTTTACTTATATTTATTTTATGTTGATAATTTTTAGTCCACACATTTTATAAATAATATAAATGTCTTACACGTTTGTAAATGGCGTATAAGAAGTACGCCCTTCACAGGTTTTTTTAGATGTAACAATCTAACAGCTCAATCAATTGAATTAAAAAATGTGCCTTAAATCGAATATATTTTAAGCCCTGCATCATGTAATTTAATGATAATGCCTAATTACTCTCTGTGTGAGACATGTAAACTCAGAAAAACTTCACATGTTTAAACGGCATCATATTATATTTAATTGTGATGTTGGCTGAAATGAATGCTGTCTTAAATTTAAACCTAATCTAATCCATTTAGATACGTATCTTCTTCTTATTCTTGGGTTTATTGAGCCCTTAGGGCCATCCCGTCTCACAACCAAACATTCATCCTTCTCTGTCTAATGCTAGGTTTCTCCAGTTAGACCCTCCTCCCAAATATTCAACATATTTTTTTATAACATCATCCCATCGCAATCGTGGTCTTCCCAATAATCTTTTCTCTACTAAATTCTGCTCTATAACTGCACGTTTCAGTAGATTATGGTTTCTACAAGCATCCCCAACCTGTGATAGTATTCCTCTTCTAATCATTTTTTATATGTCCGAATCACTACATAACGTTTCCAGCTATATTTTTTCTTCTTCTCCACTCCCCAGTTATACTATTTTGACTATCCGCAAAACTTTTCTTTCAAAAATAATAAACTTATGTTCGTCTTTTATTCTAAGTGGTTAAATTTCAGATCCATATAGTATAGCTAGTCGTATTAGAGATGTATATAAATGTTTTTTCATTCACTTGTTTCTGGCTTGCATTCTTGTGTAGTCGCGTCTACCTTGTATACTATATAATTTGTTTCGATTAAAATATAGTACCCAGGTATTTGAACTATTTTACCCTTTTACATTCTTAATGAATAATCAATAAAGATCCATTTTTATGGACTAAAAAGGTAATATACTCATACATTTATTTACCAGTTGGTAAATATATATAAATATAAGAAGAGTATAGGGAGCGGTGAATGCCACTCGTTCGTAAAATGATGAGAACCATTTTCAAAAACCCTGACCGGTCGCATATTAACATACTATACATAGTGCATATGAAATCAAATACTCATCGTAATTTTGCATAAAAAAATTGGAATTTGCTTTTGATTAATTTCCTCCATTCGCTTAGTCTAGAGCCTTTGACTCCAGACAAAGCCATATTATAATTAAACATAGTAGTAGGTATTTAGTGTTCAAATATTACAAATAATATATTATACAGTGGTGAATACGGAAGGGGGAGTGCCCCCTTCCAGACTATAAACCATTAACTACTTAGCCTAAACAAGAGCACTACCTAACTAAAAAAAAAATGTTTGGGTGACTTTCTTCTGATTTCGACCAGACTTTATACTAATACATCTATGTAGTATTGCAGCATTAGCGTTTGTAGTAAAATGGCGAGTGCAGTGGCGTGTTGAACCCATTTTTGGTTAAGAGCAAAAATGTATACAAGGTAACCAAAAAAATGGGGTAAGCACGCTGAATCACTGTGTGTATAAAGAATATATTTACTCCTTTAAGCCTGAGCTTGTAATGGAGTTGAGTGTTCAATAATACAAAAAAAAATAGTTTCTTTTTTATAAATTAAATATAAAATATTATATATAGACATGATTGAAAAAAGACGGAACTTAACATTGCATTATATCTTTCCAAATGTGTGAAAATATGTGTAGTTCTGTTAAAATAATGATAGTTAATACATGTTGACTAAAATTTAATATCTGGTAAATTAATAGATATTTTTGTATTTTCCCGGGCCAAAATCTCTACCCAATTCGTCCCTGGATTTACCTACTTAATTAGTTAATTTTAAATTTATCACACTCGTTATCTTGTATCTTGATTTGTGTTGTAGTGTGTGCAGATTTAATAACATTTAAAATATTGTTAGAAGTGGGGGAGGCCATGGACTCATAATAATTAATATTATGCAGGTATAAGCAATCGCGGTCGTTGAGCAAATTTCCGGAAACCAACTAGCTTATCTGTGTTTTCCTAATAATGCATTGTAACCGACCGAGGACGACCGTTTGCATCATAAGACTGATGTTTTCAGCCGAATTTGGGATTTATATTAATTTGATAATAGGTATAATACTTTTTTTTTTTATTATATCTTTGAACACAACAAATATGTATCAGTATTCTTATACAAAATAATAAATAATATTCGTACCTATATTGTAGGTATTCCTAACTAGTAAATTAATTAGTAATTAATTTGGATAGTTTTTTTAACCTTGTTTTTGCTTTTTCGTTGATGGTTAGAAAAATAAGTATATCGTCTCATACTCATTGTAATATAAGTAGTGAATATATACTCAACCATATCATTTTGTGTTCAAAACACGGAAATAGAATCAAATAATTAAATTTTAAAAATTCATTAATGTCTTCGAATACATTTTGACTATAAGCATGTTTGGAAAATGACATCTCAATAAAATTGTCTAATAAGTATAAAAATTGTTTTCAGGATGAATCTAAAAACCTTTAGATTTTAAATTGACTAGTTGGCAGTCACTATATAACAACTGTTTTCTGAATTTTTTATGCTCGATAAACAAATTTGATAATTTGTTTACTAACATTTTTTGCTAGATATCTATTAAATTAAAATAGTGATATCATTTAGTTAACTTAAAATAAATCTACATTATTTATCAGTATAAAATATTTCAACACAATACAAATTACACTACACACCCAAAAGTAGGATTGTCATTAAAAGTATTTTCCTGAAAAATGGCATGACAAAAGAAAACTCTTTACCGATAAATTTGCTATGTCATACAATTGGACTAGAGCAAAAGGAAAAAACCTTTATCATGTTTATACCTGTCTAAGATATTCATTGGTAAGATAATTTTATTGATGCTTAATTATTTTAACAGTTTTTATATAATTTAATATAATCATTCATATTTTTATATAATCATTCACATTTTTATATAGATGCTGTTTTCAAAAATGCCAAAGATTCAAAAGTCTGACATTATTACTTACATCAAAAATTGGAAAACATGCAGAAACTAGATTTTATAAAAAATAAATTAATATAGTATGTAAAATTTGTTGTTATTCATAAAAAGAGTAATTTAATACAATTAAATAAACATTATCTATGATTTATTCCTGTATACCTAAACAAAATATCTCAAGTTATCATCCACTAGGTTTATAATGCATATACTGAAGTATATAAATAATAACTTGTGGTTATCCATTAGGATTATATAATATAAAAAATCGCATGAATAACTTCAAAAAATAACTAATGGATATTGAAATAGCATATACAAAAATGCAAAAAAAAACATTTGGATATCTTTTAAATATCTATTGGAAGTCATAATGTGAATATTATGGATATCTGAAAAGTACATCCACTGTATAACTACTGGATATATTAGTGATGTGTGAGCATCAATATCCCATCGACTATCTTTTATAATAGTGTCTAATAAGCTTTTAATTTTCAAATTTTTTCTCTCTTATTATAAATAAAGTAATACCTCTTCTCGCCGCTATTAGTTTTTAGCGCTCTATGTCTATTTGATGAATAAAAATCGTCGGAATCAATAGTTTTCTGATAACAGGTTATCGTTGTGTATTCTGTTTATCGTAAATCGTGGTTTAGTATAAGTTCTATGTTATGGATAGATCTATAACCGTGATTACAACTACAAGATATGAGACACGACACACGAGTTTCATTTTCAAATTTTTGATAGTTACTTCAGTTTTTAATCATTTCTGACCGTTGTTTTTATTCTTTTTAGTTGACGCTGTGTTTAATTAACATTATAAATATTTTTTTCGCGCTATATGTTTTTTTTATTCGTGAACATATGGAGGAACTTTCCAGTCAACCCATTTGTATCTGTAATGAATGTACAAAAAAAACATTTCTTTCATTTCCAAAACTATGCGATATTGACGTTTGTTTGAATCATTTAACCGAAGTAGACCTGAGCTCTAGTAATATTAGTAAATTACCCTATTTAATCGGAAATCTTGTTAATATTGTCAACCTTAATTTATCTTCAAACAAATTGGAAACACTGCCTCAGGCATTAACCAAATTTGACCATTTAACAGATCTAAATTTGTCTAATAACAATTTCAAACTGGTGCCTCAATGTTTAATTGATGGGATGTCTTCAGTATCTAAACTCGATTTATCCCATAACAACCTCTTACATATTAATAAAAAACCATTTTGTATTCAACGATTAGTAAATTTAAATATTAGTTACAATAGTTCTCTTGAGAGTCTTCCGAATTGGTTATGGTCAATTGAATGTATTTCATTAAAGTTTTTAGATATTTCATTTACAAATTGTTTAATGAATGTTGAATCGGATCCTTATTTAAACATGTATGGTATCAGTAATCATTTGGAAAATTTGAATATTTCTGATACAAATTCTGATGTACTTAAATTAGATTTCATCAAACATTTAAAAAAACTTAAAACTCTAGTTGTAGATAACAAAGAGAAAATGTTTAGTAAACAAAATTGGTTTAATAATGTACCACTGGTGTTTAACTATAGATTCAAATCCATTACTTGCCTAAGTATGAGCAATGTTTGTTTAACTAACATTGGAGACAAATTATATTTTAGTTTACCCTATCTACGAATTTTGAACTTGTCCAAAAATTACATTGCGTACCTACCCGATACTTTGAGTGAATTAAAAAATTTAGAAGTTTGTGACTTTTCAAATAATCAAATTTTAATAATTCCCGAATGCTTTAAAGATTTGACAAATTTGAAAAGATTAATATTAAATAACAATGATGTAGGTATGATTGATATGTAAATACTATTTGAAATATATTAATTTGATTAATTTTTTTAGCTATCAACATTTCCACATTTTCTAGAAGACCTACCAAACCTAGAGTATTTGGATTTATATTGTAATAATATAATTAAATGTCCGCAATTGAATTTAAATTCTAATATTAAATCAATTGATCTTGAACGTAATATATTTTCCACTAAAAAGAGCATTGATCAAAACTCTATAGTAAGTATTAGGTAATATAAATAATAAAGATTGAATGTTACAAACTATCTTTTTAAAAACAGCATTTTTAATATATAATTTTTAACCTTAAAATCTATACGTATTTCTTAAATATGGTTACATTTATAACTCTTGTCATTATTAATAATAATTCTTTAATGATAAAAATATAATTTAAACAGTACAGTCATATATTTTTTATTAAAATCCATAAGGTATTGTCCACTGAATTCATAACTGAAACTATCTAATATTTTTCATTATCGTCTGTATTCAATCTAGGGATTGGCTTACAGTAACTTTCATATTTACCTTTCTTTTAATTTCTTAATATTAATTTCATCCTTGGTCTTTTACTATAAGTTGGGTGTACTCTAAATGTTATATATTTGCTATAGTTATTCTACATACCCTTCAATAATTAGTCCAAAAAGCCCTTCATACATTCACATGGTCAATCCATTTATTACTCCTTTTTTTAATGCATCTCCAAATGCCTAGATCTTTTCTCCATCATTCTTTTAGTACTTCTTTTGTTACCATATCCATCCAACCTATTCTGAACATTCTTCTATTACACCATATCTCAAAACCATCTATTGTCTTTTGTTTTCCTTTTTTGACTGTCCGTGTTTCTCTATCATATAACATTATACTCTAAATGTAAGTTTTAAGGAAATTATTCCTTTCAAACTGATATTTCTTAAAGTAAAGAAGTCCTTTTTGTGGTTAAATACCATTTTTGCTTGATATATTATTTTTATTTTATCATTTCTTACTACTTCCATCCACATTTGTATACTCTTAATAATAGTTTTTTTTTTTTTTATATTCTTAATAGGTTCATTATGAAAAGATGTTAAATAATTTACGTTTATCAATAAATGAAAACCGTATGACAGGGTCTTTAATTTGTACTGGTGCTGAAGATGATGCAGAACCCTTCAATGATGAATCAAGTACTTCAAGTAAGAATGGTTGATTAATAGTACAATATTTTGCCTATTATAAATAAACAATTTTCAATTAATATTATCGATTATCGTTTTTAATTTCTGTCACAGTGATTTATGTGCAATCATATATTAATTTATTTTAATAATTTTCCAGGCAGCTGGTGGTCGTCTGAACATAATAGTTTACACAATACAAATGAGTGAGTTAATGTAAACATTACATTGTTGTGAAATAATTGTTCCTTTATGTTCTGATAAGATTATACAAAATTAGCTATAACTTTCATAATTAGTTAAATGATGTCCTGTAATTTATTTATTTCAAAATTACTTAAATTGAATATTTATACAAATTACAATTCAACTAAAATAAATTGATATGGTATTAAGTACTTAAAATTATTTTTATATAATTTATATAAAATGTTTACAAGTATTTTAAGTAAAGTATAATAAATAATAATGTTTATTTCAATAAACTTTTAAACAATTATATAGGGTGAAAATAGTTTATGTTCAGTCAAATAAAAATATTTTTATTTTTTTTTGGGGGGGGGGGGGGGGGGTATCTGGTCTTAGACCATCGTGTCTTGCAGTCTATTCTCCAACTATTTATATTTAATGTCAGGACCTTTCAGTTTGACCCATCTCTTGGTACTTCCGTGTCCTTCTCAGAGACGTGCTCACGGTGGGAGGATGAGAATGTCATATTCTCCCCGTGAATTTTTTTTTTTGCATTTGTTTCAAGTTTCTTGGTAGTTTTTTCGGAAATAAAGTAGTACATAGTTGGTTTTAATTTTTAGTCATGTTAATTAATATCATACATATAAAATATATTTAGTATATATAATATATATATATATATATATATATATATATATATATATTTATAATATACATTACATACAATAGTAATAGTAATTATCTATAGATAATGCATAAATATTATAAAAAAACTACCAATATACTATTGCAATATTTCAGTCCATTATATTCTGATATTTATGTTATAAACGCGACCATAGGCATATAAATATATTACCATTAGTTTTTTATAGTTATGCAGTTTTTATCTATGCTATAATAACACTTATATTAATACATATGTCTAATTGCTTAAATATTTTTAATAATTTCATATTTTAGATTCTGAGTGGAGCGAAGGAGTTTATAGTTTTACAGAGATGTTTATTTTTTTTTCCTATGATCATCTTTTCTACTATAAATTTTGCTCTGATTTATAATGATATCACTTTTTTGAAAGGAAATATAAGGAAGGTACTTTAGGGAAGTCATTTTACTATTTTCTCAGCAAATGTGTAAAATCGAAAAATCTGAGGAAAAACATGAAAATCTCATTAAACATGGTACATTAAACAAATATTATTGAAGAATATATATAATGCCTATTTAATTATTTTACCATAATATGACATATATATTGTTGCCAAAGCATCACTATTGACTGAACTCCGCTCAGAATCTTTTTTTTCGTTAACAGTGATTTATCGTTGCTTACAGGTATACGTTAAATTACCTATAACAGTGGCTGCACTTGACCTCATTATCCTAGAACAGCTTTTTTAAGACTAAAAGTATACATGTAAACGATATAAACTTATTTGTGAACTGTAGATTATCAGATGATGGTATTTCAGGCCTTTTAGATTCTTGCTGCTACAGTTGAATAGAATGGGTGACATCATCTTATCTTAGGCTAAATTTTACTGCAACTGAATCTCACTGACTTCATGTATCCGACTTTCATTTTAACCATGATTTCTCTGATGATAATTGAAATTAACTAAGATAAGGGCTAGAAACAAATTGATCTGAATCAATTAGCATTAACTATATCCTATCAACTTATTATATTTTAAATTATATGCAGAGCAAGATTTTTAAAGTAAGGCAGCTTTCCCACTAACACAGTGTGATTAACGCGAAAACTAGTAAAATATCAAAAAAATACAGTGTTCAACAAGGTTCTTGTTGATTTACACATTAAAGTGCTTGTGGTTCTATTATAAACATAAGTAAAACAGATACAGTAAAAATAATCAGTTTCATCAGTTGCATCTTGTCAATCGCATCATCCTAGTGAGAGAAGTACTTAATAGTTTTTAATTGTTCAATATTTAACCCCCAATTACTAAGAAAGTAGAAAGTCCAAAAGTTTCATAAAAATACTTTGTAGTACAGCTATATAAAATAATAAATAATAAATTATAAGCATGTTTTAAAAACTTATTTTTCAAAAAGTGGAAAATTAATCAAGTGCCAAAATTTTAATTTCTAACTACAGAATCGTTTTCCAAATCCAACAATTAACCATTGTTCTCAATATTTAACTACCATTTATTTTTATTTTTGTAATAATTTATATAACTATATAAAAAAAAAAATCATGTATATATTTTTCATTTCAGAGAACTTGAAGAAGCTGTTGATATTCAGCCAGAAGAATATTGGGATGACAACTCCTATGAAATGACTACTGGTTTATTTGATCCAAAAGGTCAACAATTACATTACATTATTATTATATATTCTTCTGTACAATTTAAAAATGTTTAGGAATAAACAGTCTTCAATTCCTTTAAAAATTTAAATTAAAGATGTACAACATTTAAAAAATAAAAATGATAATCAATTTTTGGACAATTATTAATTATCACTTTTACTATTTTCATTGACTTCTGAATCCATACAATATTCTAAATTCATTCTTATAATGATTATACATTTATACATTGTTAATATTTCTATTAGTGGTGAACCGATATGACTTTTTTTTCTGATATTCAAATTATCTGATTTGTACCCATATAATTTAAATTTATTTATTACATAAAATATATTATATGCAGTAAGTAACATGTTTATTAAACTAAGGTCCTTTTTTTTGAAAAAATATCAGATCTGATGTAGGTTAAAAAAAAATACTGATTTTCCGATATTGCCATTATTGGTTGATATACGATATCCTCAACCCTAATTTCTATGTCTATCATTAAATTATATAATTTACTTTATCATATTTTATACTATTATGAAAAATGTTGTCACTTGTTAATTTACTCAGATTAACAAATATAACATTTTTAAGTTATTTATACGATGTATTTCATTTTATATTTATATTTAAATTTGTCCTTTATAGAATTATTTAATACAAAAATGATGTAATATCAGATTTACTCATTTTATTCTTTGGCATTATTGTTATGTGGTTATTTGTACTTTTTAAGTAGTATGAGATTTTATACCTCATTACATCAAATTGGGCATATTTGTTTTAGTCATTTAATTGATGATAAACAACCTAATTTAAAAACTTTAATACTCAATATTTATTAATAGCCAGTAAACTAAATTATTGCCTATGTAGATTTACAACAATTTGCTGCCTCTTGAAATAATTAACCACCAACTCTGTTAATTATAACACTTTTAGTAGTTTATTATTTTAAATTATTATACATTTGTTTTGTTAATTTTTTAGAATTTGAAGTTAGTTTATTGAATGATTTAAAAATGGATGAACCTTTAACTTTGGATGAAAAATCTAATGAAAAAAGGATTATTATAAATGCCATGCGTTCATGTAATGAACATTATTTTTGTCCACATGATGAACATACTAAAATACTGAAAACTTAGAAAATATTGTGTAATTTATTGTAAGTATTTATTTCATTATTTGTTTGTATAATTTGAAAAAATAAAATAAAACCCCTACACATTAGTGTAGGGGCTTTGTTTTATTTTATTCAGAAACACAATTCACAACGCCAATGAAAACTCTCCAAAATATTTATATTATAAGCTAAATCTTTTTTATTTTTATAGATAAATTGGTTAAGTTATTTAAAATAGCGTGTAATTGTATGTATAATATCTATTATACTTATAACAAGTACATACATTTGTAGATCATGATAATATTTCAAAATAATTATTTATTTTATTTTAAAGGAAAAGTTTTCACTGAAGAAGGAAGCTCATTGAAGAAGAAAAGTAATCCGACTAAGCTGTAGAATATAAAGTGATTGAATAGAATACACAATATACAAATGTTTCAAGGTATTTTTTTTTTTTTAAGAAATTTATTTTATCAATATATTTCCACACTATTGTTTTATTGTATTGTTTGTATTGCTCGTATTATTTATATCACTAATGTATTAAATAAATGATTTAGTTTTATCATTTAAAATGTAGTTTATTTTAATTTTCTATACAATAATAATAACAATTCATTGTTTATATTATTTAATATTGACTCTATTCAGAATTAGAGCATATCGATTACTAGTTTATGCATGCACACTATTTTTAACTGTTCAAACTTCCACTGTTTAACCAGTAATCGCTGACTGTATGCCATTATATGTGCAAACTCTAATGTGTTTCGTTTGCTTCCGGATGTACTCTTATTCTGAATAGAGTATATCATATAAATCTGACAGAAATATTCCCAACATACAAATGAATTTAAACGAAATTTCTTTTCAAAAATAATCTAATTAGAATTCATCAAATTAAAATAAATTATTTATATCTAATATTGATATTTATTTTAATAATTCTGTTTACCAAATAAAGTGAGTTTAAATATATGTTAATATTTTAAATACTCTGAAAAAGTACATAAAAAAATATATTTTAAAATTAAAAGGGAGATTTAAAAGCAGTCTAGTTTTTCTAAATTTTCTAAATAAAATTATACTTATTATTAAAAAAAAATTATTTGCGTGTTAGTCGTATTTTGTAGTTTTAAAAAATTGTTTTTAATAGTTAAGGAACATTAGAATAAGGACTTTTAAATTCTTCTACCGTTTTTGCAATATTAAATATTTGAAATTCTGAGTGTAGCGAAGAATGTATTGGTTTTACAAAAGATGTTTATTTTATTTTTTTATACTGTGTACATACATTTTACCAGAAATCTTGCTCCTAAATATCAAATATAGCACCTTTTCTGAAAATAAAACTGACTGGGGTGGGTACTTTAAAAAGGTTGTTTTTTATTTTCCCAGTTGTTATAATAAATGGAAACAAATGTAGGACAAAATGGGAAAATAGGTACAATATTTAACAAATATTATTAAAAAAAAACATAAAACGTATAATATGTAATTATTTTTTCACAATATGACGTATATATATTGTTGACAAAGTAACATTATCAACAGAACTCTGCTTAGATTCGTTTTTTTATTTACAGATATACATTAAATTTCCCCTCTACTACCTTCCCAACTTCTCACTTACAACAGTTACCCACGTGCAAAGTATGTCTGTCCTTTTTTTAAATGTTAAATGCTTTTTGTGGATTTTAAGTGTAATAAGTCTCTAAACTTACTACCTGATACCTTACTAACTTAATGTCATCTTTTCTACTTTGTATTATGAAAACTAAAATGCTATAATGAAACATCAATATTACTACCACAGAAACAAGATATGAATTTCTGAACTATTTGTTATAACAGTTTTAAAAATATAGTATGTTAAAATGTAATATAGTGTACATTATTATGGATTTGTAAAAGTAACTTTTGAGAAATACTCGACTATACTAGTCATTATGTATAATTTATGATTATTATTTATAATTTTATATCTTAAATCTCGATTTATATCATTATCAAAGTGCAATTAACACAGGAACTTAAGCCAGGGGACCACGAAAAATGACGGCAATTCATTGAATGGATTCTGGAAAGAGAACAAGAGAACGAGGGTTTCGCAAATCGCATTATTTTAACCGATGAAGCTCATTTCCATTTAAACGGGTTCGCAAACAAGCAGAATTGTCAATTATGGGGATCTGACAACCCAAGAGTGATCCATGAAAAAGAAATGCATCCTCAGAGGGTTATGGTTTGGTGTGTAATTTGGAGTGTGGGTTTGATTGGTCCTTACTTTTTGTTTGGACCAAATGAACATTGAAAATGTATGGTTTTAACAAGACTGCGTAAGTTGTCACACTTCAAGAGAAACAATCGCTCTGCTCCGTGAGAAGTTTCTGGACAGACTAATCTCGTTGTGTGGAAACCAAAGCTACCCACCTCAATCTTGCGACTTGACGCCGTGTGATTTTTTCTTATGGAGATACTCTAAGTTACGAGTTTACCAGAACTAAGTATGAAATGTATTTTAACTTAAGCAAGAAATTCATCGTGTCCTTTACGAACTTGATAAGGAAATGTGTGATCGAGTGATGGTAAATTGTATGGAAAGAATAATCGCCTGTAGGGGGAGTCATATAAACGATATTATTTTTCACTGTTAAACCTAAACTTCTCTTGAAGAGAATGATATATTTGTTATATTTTTTTAAGAGAAATAAATTTAATTTATAGCAGATTTAAATCCGCCGTTCTTTTTGAGAAACACTTTATTATTAAATATTTAGGAATGATAAATGTGTATTATTTACTGTTAATGTATATCAAAGCTATTAATTATACTTTTATATTGTATATTAATAAAGAGAGTTGTAACTCAATATTTGTTATATTTCAAAAGAGCAATTTAAAGTTTTGAAATATTAATTCTGCTTTTAAATTTTTAATATTTTTCAATTTTGATAATATTTTGTATTTTTAAATCTTAAAATGAGAAATTACCGTTATTTTTTTTTAAATTTATCAGTCTGTAACTAATTTAAAGTCAACTTTTACTTAAATTGGAGTTACCTCTTTTTCAATTAACTATCTTATGTAGTTTTTTTACCCAAATTACAAAATTTAAAATTTAAAATTGCTCGCATTTTATAATTTCTTATAAAGAAAATGTAATATATTTTCCTAGATAATAACTATTGAGTATTCTGCAACAAAAGAAACACTCTGTATATATTTGAAGTTGTTCATTTAAATTATACAAGCTGCTCGTAAAGAAATATGTTGTATGCTTCCCCAATGACTAAATTAGGTAATATGTATTTATTAGTTATTACAAATAACTAACAGCTTGGCTTAACTGAGCTATGTATAGCTTAAAAATATTAAATAATTTAAATATCCATTATGTAATGTAATATCTATGAACAATTTCTATATTACCTACCTATGTTAGTGGATGATAAACATAAAAAATACCTACATAGATATTGTAAAAATTATGTGTTTTACATCTGCCTACTATTAATAAAACATTAAAACAAAGTATGTTTTAGAGCATATAACAATTTATTTTAATAGTTACCTAACTGTTTCTATTTTCAGAGTATAATTATTTTTGTAGGAATGATAAAAAAACAAATCATAAAGTAATTAAAAAAAAATCAAGTTTCTGAAGTAGGTATTTGCTCTGTTTAATTCCCTGTTAATTGTTTTAGTGTTGCATTCTATTTTGAAGCAAACAATTGAACATTATACATACTTATGTAAATAATTGTAGATAAAAGAATTATTAACCGAAATTTTTGGTTACTTTAATAAAGTAGATAGGTCAGTAATAATTTTATTTGTATGTAATCAAATTAACAGTATAAACACTGGCTGACGAAAATGTACACAGTTCTGATGAGGATAGTTCTTTTATTTTAAATTTGAAAATTATAACACCTTGTGCGTCATGATACCTACACTTTTTAAACTTTTTTTTTTTGGTGAAATTGATCATGATTACTAAATAATGAATGGTTCTTGAACTTTAGTATTATAAGCAGGGTAGGTGCCTATATAAATTTGGAATCCTAGATTTTACGGACATCATTCATAATTAATATGATATTATGAAAATAGAAATAGATGTAGATATCATTTTATTTGCTTATTGTTAGAAGTAAGTATTTAAGTGCCACGCATACCCACATTGCAAAATGTCGTGTTCATTCACTTACATCTGTGATAAGGAGTTTGTAAAACTAATATTGCAATACTACTGTTCAGAACCGATAGAATCTGAATTAAGTAAGCATTAAACTTTGAAGTAGACCATTTTGTGTAGGTATAGTAGGTATAATAAGTTAAATGTAAAACTACTGGTTTTTCGCAGATATATTATAATCAAGTAGATATATCGTTTCCACATTCAGTTTTGCTAGCCTAACCTGATAATGACAAGAACGTCAAATAGTAGATATTTACTATTTAGTGACATCCTTCCAAATATTTACTACTTACCTACCTACCCGCACCCATGAAAGAATAGTGACACAAATAAAAATATGAAAATGTTGGGAAATGGGTTTTTAATGTTTCATAATTCTTCATAATGTACTATAATTTTTCCCACGTGAAACTGTTACTTCAGAGATATGAATTTATTTTTTTATTCCGACCGGGAAAATATAGCGAAACTACATAAGTCAATTCAGAATAATGTCGCATCTCAGAAGTGTCAATATTTACACCGGATACTATAATTTAGCAGACATAAAGACATTTGAATTTATACTTTGATAGTAACGACTCCGAAATCGAATTATTTGAATTTCTATCGGTATTCTTTCAGTGGTTCAATATCTAATATTATAGTTATTACAACTGTGAGTTACGGAGACGATTATATTATTATTAATACTACATGTTTTTTTTTTCGCTGCGGTGTTCTGCGACAGCCATGGTCACGGTGTCAACGTACCTACCACTATAATACCTAGGCGGCTGTGCCGTAGACGAGTAGTCCGTTTAATCATAAATCATACGGGTATAACGTTAGAAATAATATGGTCTAGCGCAGTGTGGGCGCGCATTTCGAGTACACTTCCGAACAGGGGCGAACACGGACAAGTCCAAATCACAACACTGTCAGCTGTGGCGTGGCAAATAACCATAAATAATTTCAAGGTCGACAGTGTAACCGTGACGGCTGCGGTGCGCACCGTTGCCGAAAGTCTCGTCTCGCGACGCCGCAATGCTGCAACTACACTAGTCAGCGAATTGGCCTCGTCCGCCGTTCACTTCGTCACCGAATCTCTCAGACTGTCTTCGTGGCCACCGGTAACGAAATTGAACCGATTTCCACCGAAGATAATCGACCCGAATCTCAAACAAACATGGCCGTAGGTGAGTTGATCCTCTTGTTAATCCAATATCTGTTTATCGACTCGGTAACGTTAATCATAAAAATTATCACTTACCTTACCCACTTATATTGTTGTTGTTTTTTTTATCACAAATACTGTATCCTATTGTCCTTATTATGCGAGCTATAAATTATCTTGTACCTAATAATAAACCATCTACACACGCGCACACACACGAAGTGTTTAATTTAAAAACTAATAATCATAGCTCGAGTGAGGCGAAACTATATCCCCGTTTATTGGTCTCAGTCTAACGGGCGACATAATTGTAACGAAATTAGAGATTAAAAAGCGGTTATATTTTCGGAAGCAATGCGTAGCCGGGTTTCTAAAAATATTGTGAAACAAAAAGTCACGCATTGGTTTTCGCTTTTTTTATGTTCAACACATATTTTAGAACATAAATAACATAATTGTGCCGTGTTGCCCGAATTGTGATTTTTTTCAATTTAAGATGAGATATTTATGTTGTATAGGTAATATTTTTTATAATAATTATGTTGTAATTGTATTATTAATTGACTGACTAATTATATAGTTACCAATGGATAGGATTATTCACATATTCACATTGTAATCAATACATTTTTAATAGATGAGTCATAAATAGGCCTATTGATAATATAGTTTATAGGTTTTACTGGTTTACTAAATATTAGACAAATATACATAAATAATAATGCAATTTACATTCAAAAGTTCTACCAGAAATGTTCAAATTTTCAATGTGTAGCACCTTTACTTAAACGAAATTTTCCTGGGGTGGTACTTTAAACAGGTCATTTATTGATTTTCAAGCAGTTTTAAAAATAATTGGAAAGAACTTGGAACATTTACGAAAATAATGCTTTTTATTGTTTTTTTTTTTTTTGTAATTCAGTTAAAAATGTTCGCAGAGATTTGACATTTGTATAGAAACCTTACATTTATCTTTTTTAGTCGTGGTAACATTTTTAAAATTTTTGAGCTATTTATAGACATTTGAATTAGGCGAGTTTTTTTTGTAATATTTATTTGGACCGACTCTGTAGATAAAATTGTTACACCAAACAGAAATGCTTGCAAATTTAACAGGAGGTTTATTATAAGTTATACTTAATGGTCGATAAGAAAAATTTGCGTTTAATGAAGTATTTTTATTTTTTAAAAGAATTTTAATATTAAATTTTGACAAAAATCGTAAATATTACGGCATTTCAAAACATGTTTAACCGAACTTCTTTCCGAATCGTTTTTCATTAGCAATGTTTTATCGTTGCTTATAGATATAAATCGAATAACTTTATGTATTTTACCTTCTCAACTTTCACCTACAACAGTGGACTACTCATCGTGCAAAGTATGTCTGTCTGTTTTAAAATAAACTCTAAAAATTTACTCTTTAAAAAGTATATATTATATAGGTATACTACACAGAAATTATATGGTAGTGTGACTATTTGTTTAAAATCATATCATGGTTTATTGATCTTATGCCAAAATGAAGTTATTCTGTCACATTAATAATAAACTTTAAATATTCTTTGATCTGAACACATTATTTTATTATTATAACTCGAAAATGCATTAAAAAAAAAAAAAAAAGCTTTGATACTGGAGATAAGTGCGGCCACTTTTGTAGGTGGGTAAAAATACATACAAATTTTGTAAAATTTCTATAAATAACTCAAAAATGGCTGAAATGCTTTTGAAAATTGTACCTAGTTATGAAAAAGTGAACATAAGTTTTCTGTCAAGTATCTACGAATTAAGAAAAGAAAATTAAAATACGATTTTCTTGGTTACTGACGAGAATAAAAATTCAACAAGAAAAATCTCTTGATGTTTTTTTCTATTTGAGTAATATTTCTGGTAAAAAAACAAAAAGTGTACAAATTTTGAATAATGAAATTGTAACGCCGTAAATTTGTCAATTTTCATTTTACTTTTTTTCCAATTTTTCCTAAATATTCTTTAAGGTATTTAATCTATTACAGTGTTATTATATAATAATACAATAATATACCATAATTTAATATAGTTATGAACGATTTTTGGCAAGCAAGCAACATTTTTTAATAGGTACAGGTATTTAGTTTGTGAAAATTAGATTATTTAAAGAACTATTAAATTTAAAACTTATAATGCATATAAATATGAATTATGACATTGTACTTGACTTTTTTTTTAATCATCAAGTTTGTTTCATACTGAACTTTCTATCAAATTTTTGAGCGTTTTTATTAATCTAATAAATTGAATTTAAAAACTAAATGAAAATCAATACATTATTACCTAGATTTTTAATTACTTATAAGTATTAAATATCTATTATAAATATATATTATTAATAAATAAATTAGAAATTAGAATTATTTCTAAATGATTTTATTTTTCATTTGTTTTAGAAATATCAACAACAGACAGTCAAGATTATAAATTCAATCCATTAAATTTTGGTTCATTACATTTCACTGTCAAAGCACCAAATGATGCTCATATTGTCTTATCGGCCACTGCAGAAAATAAGCCGCCTAAATATGAGGTACTTATTTTTTATTTTATTGTATTGACATTATATAATATAGATTAGTTACCTATACTGCTCTGTTAAAATGAAAAACAGTAACTGACAATATTTCATAAATGAGATTATTGTAGGGTATTGTTTTGAGAGGTCATTATTTTACATTGGTTTTGCTAACATAAAAAACAGTAACACATCATTTAGACTCTCTAAATGAGCTTTGAATATGTAGCAAAAACTATCTACTAAAATCTTACTGATTACTAGACAAATAAGTAGTAAAAAATATTATTAATTATTAATATAATATAATAATATAATTATTAATCTGTTTTATTGTATAATTTCAAAACCAAAGGTTTCTAAGAATACAAACTAATTTTTTTTTTAAAAAGTTATTTTTTATTAATTAAATATGTAATTGGTTAAATTATGATGTTTTTAATTTGTTATGTTTTTCTAAAAAAAGAGGAAATATGTGTATGTTTGATGATATGTTTCATTAATACTGCTTTTTTAACTGTAGTTTTATTAATTTTTGATCATCACAAATACTGTACCTACTTAAATTTGTCATTAAAAGTATAAATATTTGATTTAGGAAAAAGAAAATTATTTAAAATAATTTTTGAGGTTAATAACTACTAATAATGATCAAAATATTATTGAATAATATTGTTAATGTGTGAAAAAGTGAAAAAAAAAAAATAAAAAATCTATTTTCCAAACATTTGCATTTTTGTAGATATTGCTTTCCATTATAGCTGTTCAATATAAAGCTATAGCTATTAATATGTATTTTTTAAAATTATTTTTAATTTCACTTTTTTTAAACAGGTGTTTCTTGGTGGTTGGGGAAACACAAAATCTGCAATTCGCAAAAATAACGAACAACCAGACAAAGTTATTGTTGATACCCCAAAAATATTGAACGGTGGAGAAGCTAAAGGATTTTGGATCAAATGGGGAGGCGGTTTTATTGGTGTAGGAAAACAAGGTGAAGAAAATCCATTTATGTCATGGCAAGATGATGAATCTCTTAACGTCACCTACTATGGAGTGCGCACTGGATGGGGTGCTACTGGTGTATGGACTATTGAAGGTTTGCTTCTATTATAAATAATTTGATTTTAGGTAATTAATATAAATGGTTCTTAAACAAATTAAAAGAGTTCTCTTACCTATTTTATCTATAGACTAGCATGTTTTTTTTCTTGATTGCTCCACAATAACCTGCTCCTTAGACTTCTCCTGTTTTATTCAAGATGCTTTTGAAAACAAAATTCAAGTAGATATTATCTTCATGGATTTTTCTATGGTTTTCGATTATGTGAATTTTTTATACCTTATACATATTTTAGATAAATTAGGTATTGGCAATCCATTTTTGTCATGGTTGCACTCGTATTTAACTGATAGATGAGAATTTGTCAATTTATTTGATTTTTCATCTAAAATATTCAAGGTAGCATCTAGTTCCTCAAGGTGGACGTTTATCTCTTTTAATATTTAATCTTTTTATCAATACAGTTTTTCTAAATATTCATTGTTATATTTTACTTTTTGATGACGACATTAAACTTTTTGCCTTGGTAACTTCAACAAGGGACTGCAACATCTTAAATAGTCAATTAATAGTTTTGTTATCTGGTGAAACGCGATTGGCCTAAATCTTAATACTGACAAAAGTAAAAAGTAAAGTGATGACAAAAGCCATGTCCTTTTCTAGATCCCGGGTATTTAATTTAATGATTATAAATTATTTTCTTAACGGCTCACTTTTAAAACGTGTCTTTTAAATTAAAGATTTAGGATTCATATATTCAACATTTTTTCTTTTAGATCTCATATTGAATATATTTATTGTAAGGCCTTATGGATTTTAGGGTTTTACAACGTTACACTACTAATTTCAAATTAGCGCTTTGTTTAGGTACACTTTATTTCACCTTTGTGCGATCTATCTTTGATTATGGATTGATAGTTGAGAATCAAACTTTTCAGGTTGAGATCAAACTAGTTGAACTAGCTAAGAAAAACTTTCTTAGTTTTACAGGTTTTTACTGAAAATTTATCATCTCTATCATTACTATAAGTCAGTTATGGAAGATTTAATACTCGTTCTCTAGAAAATAGGCAGCTAAGGTGATTCAATTATTTTTGCTCAATCTTCTTTATGGTACGATTGACTCATCCCAGCTCCTTGAGCATATTAGTTTAGTGTTCTGAGCAATCATACCAGATCCCATGATATATTTCACCTTCCAACTTCTCAATCCTTTTTTTTTATGAATGATCCCTTGGTTAGAGAAATGAGTTTCTTAAATGATAATAGTGCTAATATTTGGCTCTAATAATTTTGTTTTGTATTATAAATTTTTGTTTCACTATTTTTATAATTATTTTAAGTTATTATTTATATTTAATACTTATATAATATAATATATTTACATATATATACATATATTTAATTATTTATACCATTTTCAAAAGTTGATCAGAGCATGTATATGTATAAAATCGGACATATGTCCCCCTACGTCATAGCCATTGTTTTAGGCAGGAAAATAAATTAGTTATTAAAGTCATAATTTTTATTTGGAAGTGTTGCAATAACTGTATTTATAAAGCTAGGTACCTATAAATAAATAAATATGATTTTTCAAAATTGTCATTTTAATATTGGCTGGTTATTTATTATCAATTATTTAAATTTAAGATTGGTTTTTTTTTAAGTCTATTTTTATTTATTTATTTTTTATTTTTAATTGAATTCAAATAGATAACATTTACATTAACACTGAAGATAGTATGGATTACATATCTAGGGTTATACTTCATGGCTCCATAAGTTTTTCAGTTGATAGTGCTAATGATGCACACATTGCTTTGACAACTAAAGATAAGGAATCTGAACCTATGATAGAAGTATTTCTTGGTGGTTGGAAGAATTCAGCATCTGCCATTCGTTACAATAAGCAAACTCCAGACAAGGTTCAAAATGTTTTTAGTTTACAGACTTGCTTAAATTGACATTTTAACATTTCTTAAATTTAATTTTTTAATAATAATAATATATATTAATATATTATAGGTATCTATTCTAACCTTATAATAATAATAATAATAATATATAATATTAAGGTTAACACATCTTGAAAAATTGACACATTTTATTAATTTTATGTAGGTAACTCATTATTTTATTTTACTAAAACGGCTGATGTCTAACAACAATGAAAAATATATTTAATGTGATTCAAATATATAAAATTATTGATATTTTTAAAGGTGCGCATTGATACTCCTCAAATTCTGTCTAAAGACACTCCAAAGAAATTCATCATCTCTTGGAGAGACGGTATTATTGAAGTGTTTCGCGACAACTCCAAATTATTTGAATGGAAAGATTCAAATCCATTTAGCATTTCTCATTATGGTATTCGTACTTGTTGGGGGGCGGTTGGTAATTGGCGCATTCACGGTGCAGCAGATGAAAAATTTAAAAGTCAAATAGTTTCCACCCCAAAACCAAAACCTTCAAAAGGAAAAGGTTAGGAATATCCCCTGTGTACAATTTTTTGTTATGATTTATTTGTTCTGTTTATTTATATTAAAAAATATTAATAATTATAAAAACTTTTGTTTAAAAAAATTATATTTAATTATTGTTTTATAGCCCCCCCTGCAGCTGCACCTGGTTGGAACATTGATGGTCCAACATTAGGTCCTGTAACATGGGTACATGCCAGTAATGGACAAATACCATCAAATGCTTTGCCTGGTGGTTTCGATGTTAACAATGAACAGCTTTATGTTGCTCGAGCTGAACACAATGGTGCTCTTATTCCTGGAAAACTTGTTCCTTCACACGGTGTTGTTTATGTAGCTTGGGGTGGTGTTGAAAATCCTAAAGAAAATTATGAAGTTAGAATATACATTTTTTCTAAATAAATGTTAACTAATAAATTTTTAGTAGGTTTCTAATATGTACATATTTATGTTAATTATTTAATATAGGTACTTTGTAACTGTACTGGTACATGGGTGAAAGCCAATGATGGAGAAATTCCTGTTGGAGCATTATCATCTGGACATACAGAAGACGGTGAACCATTGTTTGTTGGCCGTGGAGAAATTGACGGGTCGTTAACTGTAGGAAAGGTAAATATGAAAGTCTTATTATATTGTTTATATTTAAATATTTTGCAAGATGTTATATATTATATTCAATATTTAATATTTACATAAAAAAATAATTTAAATTGTTTAGTGTAGTTATTGACATATTTTTTTTTGTCATATGGTTTATTATATTATAGTGTTTATAAATATAAATTAACTGTACAAAATAGATAAGTTATATTACATTAATTTTTTATATTTTTAGTGAATTAAATTGTATAAACATATTTTTATTGGTATCTATTTATCTCTCTATTTCTACTTATCTATATAATAATTAACACTCATAATTTGAGTAAGTATTTAAGCCATATAAATTATAGTAAAATATCAACAATCTCTCAATTATAACTAGAAATGTTCATATAATTGAAACATTACAAAACTTGTATTAAGAAAATACATTTTATTGGTATTCTACTGAAACTTTATTTTAAACAATACATAATCAAGCAATATGCTTTCATATTACTAACAATATTAAATATTATATCTTCTATAACATCATAATACTAATTGGTGAAAAGTAGATTTTATAATAATTTTTTGTTGATGAATTTATTATATTTTATTATTAATTTAAAGTATCAGCTATCCATATTTCTATTGTTAAATCCTAAATAAATAAACATTTATGTTTATATTTTTCACTGTTTATGTTGTTGCTTATTTATATATGTTAATAATCTACTTTAACTAATTTAATATTTCTATTGTAATAAAATGTATATATTTTTAGGCAAAACAGAAATATAATCAAATATTGACTCAGAGTTCTTCTAGCTTTCGCTCTGAGGAAAATTCTTCTATAAATACACTAATAATGAAATTATTGAAGTCTTCGTTAGAAAAAGAAAATGATGATCATAATATTTTTGGTGCTTATGTAGCTATGGAATTGAGAAATTTGAAGACATCTGATCAACAGAAAAAATTAAGAGCCGAAATAAGAGATGCTATATCTCGAGTTGAAAAATCTGAAAATAATAAACATAGTGTAAATAATACAAAAGAATTAGATGATTCAAAATATAATCTCACTGGTACTTTAGCAAATAATATTGAAGTAGCTAATGTGTCTCATGAAAAATTTAAAAGAGATAGCTGGGAATTAGTTAACTAATTTTTGGATATTGCAGTTTCAAAAAAAAAACATAATCTCTATTTATTTATGTCTCAAATTATTTTTTTCTTATATGATTCTACTAGTAATTAAATAGATGTCTTTTCTTAAAATTGATTTATTATACTATTGTTTGCAACTGAGTTAAATCTATGATTGTAATTGTTTTGACATTAAATGAAACTTTATTTTTCACGCATTTCCAATAATACACTAGTCTGTCTCACGAAAGAAAAGTATTGTTTCGCACAAGCTCCACACCACCACCCCGAGATGGTAGCTTATGTATACCGGGTTGAAATGGGGTCTAAACGAGGAACGGCGTAGGAGAATGCACGTCACTGACCAATTTTTGTTAAAACACTGTACCTTTTTTCATGAGACAGAATATAGCTATAAATTATAATGGTTACAGATATATATTTTGTATACATATATTTTAAACTAGCTCTTAAATTTATTTTGGTGGAAAAAATTATGTTTTTTTTATTTATTTTGAAGTTAGTAATTAGCGCGCTAGTTTGTAATTGCATATACAGTTAATTCTGCTTAATGTGGGCAGTTACCTAATATTGGTATAATGGTCTGGTCCCATTTTTAATGTATAACGATACTCATTTTGGTTAAAATGGGCCTTATGTAGACAAATGTAACAGCTCCCAATGTGCCCATATTAAGCAAAATCCACTGTATATATTTTGATTAAATCAGATATCATTAATTATCAGAGGTAATATACTATTATGTTTATTTATTATACTTTATAATAATTATCTATCTAGTATAATATAAGTGTATACAATCATTTTTTTCATAATTAATTTCTTTTTACTGTATGTTTATTTATATTCATAACTACACTTATTGTTTTCTATGTGATATTATTATATTGTTGATTATACACCTAATGATCAAGCTTGATACTAAAACTTTAGATTTATTTTTATATATTAAAGACCTTGTTCAATAACTCACTAGGTATTATTGTTTTTTTTTTTTTAGTCTGCAAAATAATATTTATGTTGTAATATTATTTCAAAGGCAGCATTTAATAACCACAAATTGACATACTAGTTATAAAAGAATATGTTTTCAAATCTTAACCTTCATATTTTATGATTTTATTTTTAACTTTGGGGTTATAATTGCATGTCAATTTTCAATGCACACAGTAAAATTTTGTTTTTGTTCATTAAATGTGTTTACACAAATATTGTACTGTATAGATTTTATGTTTAATTACATCAACTACATGATTAAATGGGTTTTAATGCTCAGAGACTAATGATGCAAAGACATTATATATTATATTACTAATGTTATTTGTATACATGTTATTTAACATCATCTAATAATTAATTAGTTACATTATCATTTTTCCTCATTCTATTTGTACATATAATGACATGTTTATCTAATTAAATTTAAAATAACTACTTACTGCAATATGAACAATTTAAGTTATAATAAATACCAATGTATGTATTCGAATTAAAACTATTGGTTTAAAAACCAATTTCAAAATAAAATGTGCACCTATTTCACCTTCATAATTATTAGATATACGTCTAAATATACAGAGGTGGCCAAAAGTCACGCAACGCTTACCGTCTTGTATGGAACGCGTTTTTCCCTCCACGTCGTTTCCGTTACACCATATTGCCACTTTGGTCTCATTATCTTGTTAAACGTACAACAACAGCAGCAAGGTTTATAAAAAAATAACAACCTATTAGACACAGTTTCATGTTCGTTATCGTTTGTAACACTGCCGAAATGCAAATTTGTTTTGCGACTTTTGGCCACCTCTGTATATTAAAATCAGTTCTATTAAAAAAATCATTTAAACATCTGAAAGTTTTATAAGAATAATTTGTTATTGTTACAGGTTCAACCTAGTCACAGTGTGTGTTATGTACCATATGGCGGCTTAGAAGTACCATTGAATGATTACGAAGTATTGGTGGCTTAAATGCATTCAAATTCTCAATCAGATATTTGCAAATTTTTATATGGCCAGCTATAATAACTCATTCATATATTTTACATTTAATTTATTATAATATTTACATTATTTTTAATTTATTATTATTAATTTTTGTGATTATACAAAATCTCTAATATTGCATTAATATTTTACTGTTTTTGTTATTATTTTTTAATTAGTCTGCCCTAATTATTAACAGATACTAAAACTATAAAAAATTACTGTAAAATTTCTAAATAACATAAGTCATTTATATGATTATATATATTTGATAATAATTACGTTTTTTTGAAATTATAATTGTGAAAAATATAGCTAAATACACAAAATCTAAAAATACCATCTATTTAAATATTTTTCAAATTCGGCGATTTTTTAGAGCTGCGTACAAATCTACCGTTTTGTTCAAGAAATCTTCATGCCCTTCAATATTTATTAACATACAATGCATTAAGGTTCACAGTAGCATTTTAAATTCTGATTGGAGCAAAGAAGCTTATGGTTTTACAATAATTGTTTTTTATCTGTGAACAATTTTTCTATCAGAAATATTACTCCGAATTACAAGAGTAGCACTTTTTCTGCAATAAAATTTAATTGAAGGGGTTCTTTTAGGAGATCATTTTTTGATTTTCTCAGTAGTTTTCTCAATATATTGAAAAAAAACGGGAGAACGGGAAAATAGGTACATACAATATTGAAAAAATATTATTAAAGTAAATGTATAATGTATATTTTACCATAATATTACAAAGGTATATATTGTAAAGCAACATTATCAACTGAACTCCGTTCAGAATCGTTTTTTCGTGAGCAATGGTTTATCGTTGCTTACAAATATACATTAAATTCCCATCTGTATCCTACCTTCCCAACTAACCACCCACAACAGTAGCTGCATCCACGTGCAAAGTATATCAGTCTATTTTTTCTTGTTTTTGTAAGTTCTCTATTAATTACTGAAAGACCTTTCAACCGAAGATATCGTAACGGGAATGAGTAGAAATAATTCACAAAGTCGTTGTAACTCCGTATATCCCCCACACCTCCCATGATTTTAATCAATTTACTTGCATGTGCTTTGTATATTACGCATTGTACCACTATCAAGCATAGATTTGATAAAAAATTGACTTCGTTCTCATCAGTACAGTTTCTACATTAGGCATTGGTAAATAATTGCACATTTTTTTAAATTCAGTGACTTGTATAGCTGTATATTAATGAAAGACTGGAAGCTCTCAAAGTGACTAACAAATGTCATTATATCAATAGATTTGTCGTTGAATCCGTTTTTAATTTCTTTAATTAAACTTTTACACTTTTGACAAACTAATGAAATATTTATCTGATATTATTTTTCGTATTCAATAATTTATCGTCAACGTTAGAGTATTATTCTCCATAGAGAATAATACTCATAGAGTATAATACCCATAGAGTATTATTCTATGCCGTTGTCCAACAATATTATCTAAGCTACTAATGATTTCCATCGAGAAAAATAATTTTATAAATAGAGCATTGTGTTGACTTTTATCATTATACATATTTTTCAGGTCAATCACCATGATATTAAAATTAAATTTGACCAATAATAGATATTTCTTAACCATTATTCAAATTTTCTCCGGGGGCCTGAAAGAAACAATGGTAATTACTCTATGATTCACAGTAGAGATAGGCAAACATTTTTGAACATCGATGTTTTTTGCCCACCACTAATTCACATATATCTGATATATTATAATATAGATAATTGTGGTTAATGTTCCTAAAATAATTTATAGATGGCGTGTGATATAAAATACACGGGACACGGTAAAATGTTAACTCAGTGAGGTCTGTGGTTAGATTAGGTCACGATTAAAGATACACCTTGTTAAAGTTATACTTTTAGGTATTATATCTTTAATCGTAGGCTAGGTCCATAGACCGTATACTAAGGTATAATTAGTATAACGTCTATTGTTCGGTTCGTTATGCCCTGTGATCCCCGTGATCGAGGTATATTCTGAACATCTTGGGGAATTTTTAATGCTTTATTCGTGCATCACTGTTCGTCATTATTGTTCAGATATCCGTGTAAGATACTAGCGCTTAATTGATACCGTCCGATTTCATAACAGTCAACAATATTTTGCGTCTCCTCTTGTCAAAATTTGTATGTGACTAACATTTCGGTGAGCAATTTTGTTTAGACAAAAGACCTACAACAAAATCATTGATCCGTGTATAACAGGATTTATTTTTCTTCATAGATTTTATATGTATTTTATTTTATAGTTAATATGACAACTGCTGCCCGACCAACATTTGAACCAGCCCGTGGTGGTACGGGCCGTGGAGAAAATGATCTTAGTGCTCTTTCAGTGCAATATTCTAGCAGAGATTTACCATCCCATACAAAATTAAAATACAGGTACTTACCTAATTAACTGCTTATAGTAGTCTATTTAATAATAATTTATAATACGTTTTGTTATTTAATGAAGAGAACCTGGACAAGGTACAACCGAAGAACTCCAGAAACAAGATTTTGCCAAAATATTAGAAGAAAAAGAGAAAGGAGTGACTAAATCCATAAGTGGTGGTGAACCCTCATTGTACGTGTTATATTTTTATTATATTCATATTTTAAATTTTTTTAATTTTGTGAATGTAATTTAGGAAAAAAATACGACCTGAACATGTACCGATTGCGACATTGGATGTTGATGACCCATTAGATTTAGATGCATCTGATGATGATGATAGCGATGATGATGCAGAAGAATTAATGCTAGAACTACAAAAAATAAAAAAAGAAAGAATGGTTGAAGAAGCTCGCATGGTAATAAATCTGACCTGTACTACCTAATATATAATCCTATATATTTAAAAAAAAAAAAAAAATAATAATAATAATAATTAGAAATCTTATTAGAATATTTTTAATTTGATTTAGTATAAGTTACACAAATTATCTGATTTCGGTTTAGAGAACATATTATTCATAAAGTATAGAATCCATAAAATAACAACAATATATTTTTGCCAAATCATCAAAATATATTTATTTATTTGTGTGTTTATTAAGAGCAATTGTACAATCTGTATATGTATGGTACAATAAGCACAAGTGATCACAATGAGTATTTGAAAGTGATCCAGTGATAGCACTTTTGTAGAAGTACCAAAATATTTAAACTATTTTAGAGCTCCAAGTGCTCACCTTCATTTTTGTTTAGTTGGATTTTTTAAATTTTTTTTCTAAAAAAGCATAAACACTAAATTTAGTCATTATTGTTATAATTATTTAAATAAATATTTACATTTTTTTTTACTGTAACTGTAAGCTCAATTAATATATAATTTTTAGTTACAATTTTCATTTTAACCACATAATATCAAGTATGTTGATAACTGCACTAGTTTTAATAATAGTTATTTCCTAGAAAAACATTTGAAATATCCTACAAAATAAGTGAACTTCAATTTAATATTGCACAGATTACTATTTTAAATTGAAACTTGATGATTGTTTCATTTTAAATACCTAGTTTAGTTAACCATCTTTCGAAAAAGTGAATACAAATAAATTTAAAGGTCCTTTATTAAGCCATAAAACTAGTATGTGGTAATTACTAATAGGCTACTATTAAACTAATATTCTATATTTAAATTTAAATATTCTTGAATTTTAAAATTAAGTTATAACATATTTAATCTGTGGTCAAATTTTTCACAGAAATATCATTTGTTCAATACCAAATATAATTCTGTCTTAACAAAATTCAATTAAACAGTATAAGGAGTTCTAATTAAAACTGGTTGGATTATCCCATTATAAATGTGTGTGAAGAGAACTGGTGAAAGTAGATACCAAGGTGTATGATATTTGCAGATAATACAGCTTTGATAGGAGAAAATCTAGAATAAGTTAGCAATAAGTTTAAAAAATAGAGTAGTAATTAAAGGAAAAGGACTCTGGTTATATAGAAATAAAATAGAGTATGAGTTTGGAAGAATAGGACTAGAGAGCTAACAAAAATAGGTGGTAATAGACGATGTTGAGAGTTAAGTACCTATGATCTTTCATATAAAATAATGGTGGCTTTTTTATATTGTTGTGAAATATATGATTATGTGTGATTGGATTAAATGGAGGGAATCGGCAGGTATTTTGTATGTGACAAGAGAATTTAAATGTAAGTTCTAAAAAAATGTGGCGAGTCTGATACATATTTGCTAGTATTAGATATGAGAATACTTGGTGAATGAGTGAAGTGATAAATGAAGATAGGTTAAGCAATGAATACATAAGAGGTAATTTAGGTATGGATTTGATAGTAGACAAAATTAAAGAAAATAGACTGAAATGGTTGAGTATGTTATGGGGAGAGAGGAATCTGTAGCATGTTTAGACATTTGAGATTTTTTTTGTACATATGAGTATAAGCTCTTTGATTTCTTGTATCTATAAGTAGAGAAATCTGCATCTTTGTGATAAAGTGCACTGATATGTGATGTTCGATAATAATAACTTTAAGTTTAAGTGTTTCTGTGAGTGTATACCTTAGTTTTAAGAAAAAAAGTTTAAACATCCGCCTTTATATTCGACTACACTACTTTATGCATTTATATGTAAAGTTTTATTATAACAATTTGTTTTTAAAAATGAATCAAGTTGTACAACTAAGCATATTATATGCTGAATTTGTGTAAAGCTTGATTTATTTGGCAACACCGAGATACCTTTTAATACTTAATTCAAATCAAAAATGATTGAATCAAAATCATGAGAAGTTATTTCTGGTTATTATATCTAATTGTATGGATTATTTAGGGAAAAAAATTAAATAATTATTTACTTACTTTTGTTGTTATACTCCATTTCATTTTATGTTTTATTTTTATGCATTATCTAATTTAAGTCTAAATTAAATAAATACACATTTTTCTTTATCAGCAGTAAGTTATCTCTCTTTTAAGAAGTTTTTAATGTTCTCAAAAAATTAACGGTTCCCACCACATAATAGATATGAGTAATGAACAAAAAAAAAGCAAAAAAAATAAAGGTCTTCAGCTCCCTCAAATGTCAAATACTATTTGTGCCTATGCTGGCATATTTGAATTTTTGAACTCATCTAACTATTTGTATTAGACGGTTTTGACTGTCCTGATTAGTTAACATTTTGCATTTCATAAATGACCTTCCCAACCTATTCTCCTGTTTTTCATTTCAACTATTTCATACCAGTGGTTTTGAAACCAGGCATTCACAAGGTATTTAGTCTTTTGAAATAGGTTTTCCTTAAATTGTGACTGACCATTGATGGTGATCCATCTGTTGAGTATGAGGTCTTAATTTTTTTGATTATGACCCATTTGAATATCATCAATTTTGTAATTACTTCTAATTTTTCACAAAAATTAAATAATGACAAAAAAAAAAAGGTCAGTGTGCCGTGGTCAAAAAAATTTTGAAAACCACTGATCTATTACTATTTATGATTTAGGTTTTATTACTTATAGGTCAATATTAATATGCCTTGCTCTTAAAGGGTATACTTGCAGTATTCAGTCAAGTGATTATTAGTGCTATTAAATACTTTACTTTTCATTGTGAGAATGACCCTGAGAAACAAATATATATGTGAGCATTATGTTTACTTATTAATTATATTGTTACTTGTATATTTCTTTATAGGATGCAGAAAAACGTGAAGCTGAAGAACAAATCAGAATTCAAAATATTCTTCAAGGAAATCCACTATTGAGCTATGGACCAGGTGCAGCACCAAAAGTTAACCAAAAAGTCAAGAGGCGCTGGAATGATGATGTGGTGTTTAAAAATTGTGCACGCACAGAACCAGAAAAAAACACAACTTTTATCAATGATTGCATTCGTTCAGATTTCCATAGGAAATTTATGGATAAATATATAAAATAATTTTAATATGTAAAATATTTATTTTTCACGTAATCTTTACAAAATATCTAGATAATAAGTTTAAATGTTTTTTTTTTTTTTTTTTTCAGTAAATGTTCAATTAAACATAATTAGTCTTAAATTTACAGTTATCAGGCACGATGGGATTATTTAAAAAATGTTTAATAAATTTTAAATAAGTATTCTGACTTATAGTTTACTCATTTTGGTCATTATCGTAGTTGCTCAATTCGTCATCATCGTCTAAAACATTCTGTGTAGTTGCTAGAAAAGTTCTGATGATTTTGCATTTTGTCTGATTGCAGCAACACGGATTTGGGTGTGATTCTTGTGCAGCATTCAGCATTTCCAAGTTAATACTATAATGTCTCGAATTTTGACTGCTGCGTTTAAACTGAACATTAAACATCACGGCATCACCTTCTTCTACCTCCATCTGTGTAGGTAGCACGATGATTGTTTGTTTCCAATGTGTTTGGGGTGCTCCAGGGGAGGTGCTCAGCTTGTTATCCTTATTCAAAAATTGTACGTCAAACCAAAAACACACACCCTGATAAATACCGTTCTTATCAATCACAGTTAGATAATTTTTTACAATGATTTCCTCAAGTTGTTGAGTTTGGCAGTGTCGAAGATCCAATTCAACCATAGGATTAATGTCTTGGGCGAGGATATTTTCCAGTTTAATGCTCATGATCTTGGGCCTATTTAAATATAGACCACGTAAGGATTGTGCAAATGATCGCATTTTCACACCAAAAATGTTATCCCAATCAGAATACAAATCTGGCAGTGAACACGGACTGGCATAAAGCATGCAATGAGAAGGAAACATAATGCCATCAGGTTTCAAAAACTTGTCTCGTGCCACAAGTACACTATCTAACATTCCTTCGTGTAACATGTAAAACCCCATCCATTCCGAAACGATAATATCCACTTGACAAGGTAAAGTAATATCTTCTACTTTGCTGTAAACCACCTATAAATTAAAATTGAGTTAATAAATTATCAAGTAATAGGCATATTTAAAATAATTTGTTCTGGTTTTGTACCAACTTCTATTATATTGGAAAAATGATTTTCGTCGACCAGCTTTCTGGCTATTTCAGACACTTTGCTGGCCTCTACTGCATATACTTTGGAAGCCTTAGCTTGTGCACAGAAAATGGACAGTATTCCTGTGCCAGCTCCCACTTCCAATACGACTTTGCCTTCAAACAATATCCTATTTGATAAAATTGCATTTTTGTAAGCTTCAGTTCTTGGTGAATCTTGTATCATTAATTTATGAACCTGAAATTTATACACTTAATATTAAACTGAACGTTCAGTGGAATAACGGTAATAATTATAAATTTACCTCCAGATCCTCATAACTTGAGAAATATAATGTGTCTGTATCAGTCATGGTGGGATACTGTTTGAAAATCTGCGCGCGTGATAACTTTAACCTGCAAATTGGTAAGTAATTCAAGGTAATAAATCAATCAGTTATCAGTTATCAGTTATCACAAGCGATGGTATTGCTATCAGATGTTCGAATTGCAGATAATTTTCGCAATTTAATACTCGGTCTTATATTTTTTCCGTGGGTTAAATTAAAAAAAATAATTTAATGTTCGTTAATATGGCTTTCAATTTAATTAAACAATCCGGAGGGATAGCGATTAAAAAAGCGATCTCATCGTCTCCGTAAGTAATTGAAATATATGTTATTTAATATTTTGTTTTGTTAACACCTTCGTCACATTGATTATATTATATAGAAGTAAAGGTCTATTTACTGCTGCCGTGCGATCGTCCAAAGAAACAAGAGGCCTAGAAAAAGTGTACGAGAAAAACGAGCCTGTTTTATTAGAAACTGACAATGTCATCGGAAAAACCCCTTTGATGGCCGTTCAGAATTATATTGAAGTTGCTGATAAAGTAAGTTAGGTTGAAGTATAGCTTTTGAGAAAAAAAATGTCAAAATATTGAAAAATGTTCATAGACTTTTGGGATTACCAAGAATACTAAATTGATTATCTTTTCTATCTTAAATTCAATTTATGACAATCAATATACAAATTCTAATTTGTCCTTATTGAATAGGGGTCTCCCCAGTCTAGTTTTGCTATATCTATGCTAATTAAATCATCATGGGTTAAATTGTTAGTATCATTATTATTAATATAAATTATATGAGTTGATTTATGTTTGTGACAAAACTAATTAAATTAAATTAATTTTGTTCATGATAAATATTAAATATCAGATATGGAACATCAATAATGTAATATGATATTACTAATAACTATTGACAGAATATTGACTTAGATTTTGAGCATAGTAAGGGATGTATTGGTTTTTTTTTTTTAAATCATTTTTATTAAAATTAATCCAATTTACTGTTTAAATATCAACAATTGGATTTGATTGTAAATTACATTTAAAATTAATGTATAACAATTAATATAATAACATCATTTTAAAATTGTTGATTTAAAGTCTATAATACTATGAGACTCTGTGTAATTTTTCAATTTTCTAAGTTGGGGAAGTAGGATATATAAAGTTATATATAAAATCTATAGGTAACGATAAGCCATTGCTGACAAAATATCATTCTGAGCAAAGTTTTATTAAATATGTTTTGAAATGTCATAATTTTTAAGACTTTTGAAAAAACAAAATCACTTTATTATACTAAACATTTTTTACATTAAGTAAAACTTATAATGGAACTTGTACTACATTTTAAAGTATTTTTGTTTGACCAATACAATTTTATGCACATAAAACCAACAAAATACTTAAAAAAATTTGAATATGTCAAATACATATAATAATAGCTGAAATATCATTAGAATATTAATACCCCATCTAGAAAAGTCTAATATAATTATTCTGTGAAAATGTATGGTCTTTATGAATATTTTAAAGCAGATTAATATAAAAATCCAAACCGAAAATAATGAAACCATGATTACTGTAAACTTTCCATTTTTTCTGCCTTTACTGAGTTATTTAGAAGACTAAGAAAATTAAAAAAGAAACACCTTATGCACCTGATAAACAAAATTTGTTTTCTAAAAACATACTACCATAAAGAAATTTGTTTTATTTTATGAAACTTTTATTTTGTCAATTTTCTCCCATTAGTTATTATTTTTTTTTTATTTTTCTAAATGATTATGAAAACATCTTGGAAATTCTAAAAATTATCTCCACAATTTTCTAAGGTATAATCCAGAATTCTATAACAAAGCTGTTTCGTCAATTTTTGATTTAATCAACATTTAGATTAGAAAAGTTGTAGACAGAAAAAACAATTTTACACATCATAAAATCTATACATTTCTCTTTGGGTTCAGATATAATATAATATAATTGTCTATAGGAGGAATATTATCACTGATTAACGACATTTTTAAAATTATTTAAACATGCCCATTTTCAAGTTAATGTCATTTATGAAATGATCTGTTATCCAGGTTGATATTAGTTCTTTGACCGGTGTACCTGAAGAGCATGTCAAATCACGTTTGGTAAAGATCAGTAAGGCTACCAAAAATGTTATGCAGTCTGGTACCGACAACACTCACAATTGGGTTATGGAATTTGATAACAGAGAGCGTTGGGAAAATCCATTAATGGGTTGGACATCGACGTATGTGAAATTTTAATTTATACAATTGGTTATACAGTAGAAGCCCCGCTTATTAGGAACATTTTTTAACCGAGGTGAAATGTGTCAATTAACTTATTGTTCCTAATATATAATTGGTTTTGATATATGACTGGTCCGTTCCTATATATTTTGTTTCAATAACGCCATTATATCAATTATTTGTGTTCCTAATAGACATTATAGTAAACAAATTTAATTTTTGTTTAGAGGTGATCCGTTATCGAATATGAAAATTGAGTTTATCGAAAGAGCCGATGCTATAAATTTCTGTGAGAAAAATGGCTGGAAATGGTATTTAGAAGCGGAACACAAGACTAAGCCTAGGCCCAAATCGTATGCAATCAATTTTTCATGGAACAAACGTACAAGAGCTTCTACAAAGTGAATACTTTCATGATTGTAATATCTGTACGATAGTAAATCAAGGCATGTAAAAAAAAATTGAAAAAAATAAATATTCTTGAAAGTTTAATACAAAAATCATACTATGTATAGTGTAAATTAGGTACATTATAATTACAATTATTTTGTTTCGGATTATTAAATAATAATATATTATAATAAATAAAACAAAATACTTATTTGTTTAGATTTTGTTTTTTGAATAATATTTTAATGATAAAAAATGTAAATTCTATAAAATGTTAAAAAGTATTACCAAACTTTTTTAACTTTTAAGTTTGGGTCGGAGGAGAGTAGTGGTACATTATTAAAATGGCTCGCATTATGCCACCATACAAATGATGTTCCACTATTTTCTCTTGAACCAAACTTAAAATATCTCATTAACAAATTGACGGAAATTAAAAATTTCAACACCAAAATTTATTTTATTTAATACCACATATATTTATGGAATTTATAATATTGGTTGCTATTTGAAAATAAAAAGTAGGTAGTCATTTCACCTTTAAAAATTAGAATGATAAAAAATAATTTAAATGTAAAATCATAGAGATGCTTGTTTCTTAAATTTTCTGTAAAACAAATTCTGAAAAAAGGTAATACTTTTTGAGATTATTAGTGTTAAAAGAATCACCCGATATGCTATATCTTTAGGTAACTCACTTGATGGGTAGCCCACTTAGTAAAGTTGTGATACATAAATTATTATTACTTTTTATCATTTATTATTTATTAATAAAATAATAAAGTAAAAACAAAATTATTAAAACGGTTAATACTCGTAAATAAATAATAAATAAATAAATGAATGTGTCGCCTGGAGTATTATGATAAGTGTATTGTACAACCAGTTTGGAATTAATAATTCATTATCAGGTATATCACGGTCAAAATGTATAATGCGACTGAATATAAAAAATTAAATAAAGGAATACATAAGAAAAAAATTACACAAATTGGTCGTTTTACATTGAAATTATTTATTTTTATAGGAAAAATTATTTAAAATGGTTTATTATTAGACATGGATATGTTATGAAATATAAACCATTTGGTTATTATTTACTGTCTAGAATGTATTGATATAAGATATTTTTAAAATCGGTTTGTACATGTAAAATATTATTAAAATTATTTTTCTTTATTTCATTGTATATATTTAATTTTTCTAAAACTGAATTAATATAAATGTTATTGTGGGTATTTTATATCTCTAAGTCTGTATTAATATCAAAGCTCATCTTATGGTTATTCTTATTTTCTAAAACACGTTTGGCGAAATTTGAACTAGGGGCAGTTTTTTTAAATTTTATGTTATAAAATTTATTTTTGTTTTTTTCATTAAGGTTATCTTTATTTTAGTTAAATTTGGGTTAGGGTTCAACGAACCACCACTCATCCAGACATTCCATGGAGGTATATGTAATAATAATATTATCAAAAGTTTTTATATCGGCTAATAAAATAAACCTTTATACCTACTTTTTTTTTTTTTTTTTTATTTTAGTAGGTCTCTAGGCCACTGTCTTGAGTCTTCTGCTTACATTGCCAGGAAGTGAGGTGGAAGAAAGTTGCTTTATTAATGGGTTANTTTATAACAATTAATTTATGGTTTTTTAGTACTATATAAAAGTTAAAATCTGTGTAAAACAGCATTATAATAAACGGTAATACAAAGTGGTGACAGACGACTGTTCAACTCAACCGTATTCATAAAGTTTCAAGGTGACAAACAGGCAGTGATTTTAGACTATTAATTTTCAAGAAGCAAGTATTTAAATGAAGTCCCAAAATTTTGTAATATTTCCCTTATGTTGTGTTTTATTAATGTGTGTACATTCAATAAATTCGCAACTTCCGCTGGAATGTTCAACGGGATGTCAACCAATACCATCCGATGGGATAATCACGACTTGCAGTAATGGACTACCAGCACTCTTAGAGGGAACTTGTGAATGTTGTCCTCCTGATCCTTCTGTTCCTGGTGTTCCTCCTTCTTCAGATGGTTCTTTTTCTTTTCCTATCTCCTAACCGTATCTTCCTCCTCTCAATGGTAATAGTAAGCTAATAAATGAATTAAACTACAAAATATAATTAAACACATACAGTTCGATTCAATTTTATAATAAATCTCTATCGCTTGAATCTCTATTTTTTTTTTTAAAACATTATGTACAATGATCAAATTTGATAGTTGATGTAATAAGTAACAGAATTTAGCATTTGTGAGCTTGCACTAAACAGCAACACCCGACCGTGAACATTTGAAGAAAATTGCTTTATTAATGGAATATTGTAAGAGTTTAAGTTGGAGTGAAATTTAGAGTAATGTGCTTTTTCTAATTGATTGAGTGTAGGAATTTTTAGGTCTTTGTGAATATTATTGTTTGTGAAATACTAAGGAGAATATGTTATTAATCTTAGGCAGATAGATTACAAAGCTTGAAGCATGTTGGTTTAGAGGGCTTTGCGAAGCCCCATAACTAGATCCCATATGTCCAAGCTAGTCGAATTATTGATTTGTATTTAGTTAGTTTATTGGAAAGGGAAAGTTTGGATTTTAAGAGTGGTCTAAGGATATGAAGTCTTGAGTTAACAGTTTTACGTTTAAGTTTTATGTGTGGGCTCCAGGTTAAGCGTTTGTCGAGAGTTAGCCCAAGGTATTTAACTTCGTTTGACTTAGGAATTGTTATATTGTTAACGTAACAGGTGGAGAATCGAGATTACGTAGTGAAAAAGTTACTTGAACGGATTTAGTTTCGTTTATTTTGATTTTCCATCTGTTTGCCCACAATCTGATCATATTTAAATGGTTTTGGATCATTTCACTGGCAGTGACGTGGCTTTCGTGGGAGGCGGTTATTAACGTGTCATCGGCGTATATACCTAAGGTTGTATAAAATGTCTTGGGTATGTCGTGAGTGAAAATCGAGTAAAGGAATGGGGCGATGTCGCTTCCTTGTGGGACTCCAGATCTAATAGTGTTACGGGTTGAGTAGGTGTTGTTTAGGCGAACAGAAAAGAAACGATTTGACAGATATGATTTTATCAAGAGGAAAAGAGGGGCGGGTAAGAACTTTATAAGTTTGTGCATTAGTCCATCGTGCCAAACCCGATCAAAGGCTTGAGAGATGTCAAGGAATACTGCTGTACAAAACTGTCATTTTTCCAGGGAGCTGGCTATGATATCGACTGCTCTGTGTAATTGGTGCAATGTAGAATTTTTTGATCTGAATCCGAATTGTGTGTGTGGAATTATGTTTTTTGAAGAAGCAAAATGAGTGAGTCTCTATTGGTTAACGAATTTCCTCTCCGTGTATTGATTACGATTACAAACACATTATTAAAATCAATAAATTTACTACGTTATGTTATTATACTGTACGACTAAATATTATGATCATAAAATTTAGTATATTTAGTTTATATTTGATTAAACGAATGTATTTATTTTTATGATTGATTTAAAATTATAATTTTCACCGTTTTGTTAAAAATATATCTATATATATACATACATAAATATACATAATTTTCTTTGCTAAAATTTATCCAGGCTTAACCTATGATTACCTATTACAATTTTTACTTATGCTGTAGACATAATTATTCTGGCTGTAATGTTAATTGTTCGTTAATATCGTCGTTTGGAAAGTTAATGCAACACGCCAACACGTCAATATGATATTTCACCGTTCTATATTGCAATAAATATTATCGCCTACAATGTTATACCGTTAACAATATACTAATGAAATGTCGGACGTTATAATATCGAACGCGACACTTGTAATTGCCAGTTTATTTCCTAGTTGCGCGTCACCAGATGGGATGAGATGAATTCAAAAAACGTACCATTGTGGACGGCTCCTTACTCGTCCATTAAATTCAAATAAGTACCCTGATGAATACATCATACGTGAAACAACACTGATAAAGCATGTTCGGAGGAAAAAACTCATAATATTCTATATATAACCTAACCTATATTCTCTATATATTATCAGTAATATAATATTTATTTTTATTTTGTTTTTGACGTTTCGATTATTGTTTAGTGTGGGTACTTATATTGTTGTATCTATCGACTAGGTCCTATTTACTCGTACATACCACGTTTTANTGGTGCAATGTAGAATGTTTTGATCTGAATCCGAATTGTGTGTGTGGAATTATGTTTTTTGAAGTTTCGACATTCACGTCCAACAGACTTTACAATATGTACAATCAGATAAAAGATTGCAGTGATCTATTTATAAATAACTTACGTGAAACTTTAACAGAAACTAACGAAATCGACTTCAAGACTGCTTGTTCCAAATATTTTGCTGACGTTTTAGGCACCTGCTTTTATGGACTACAAATGAACATTATAGAAGATGAAACATCGGCATTTCACAAGTATGGAAGTATTGTCTTTAAACCGTCACTTAAGAATTTAGTTAGGGAGATATGTGTAATGATCAACCCTGCACTATTGAAATGGTTAAGGGTTACCGATTTCCCATCGGAATCTGTACTGTTTTTCTCTTCTACCATTTGGAACACAATTAAGTACAGGACGGAAAACAATATTGTCAGAAATGATTTTATTTAAATCTTAATGGATGCGAGAAAAGATTTAATTTCAAACAAAAATATAATATCCGAAAGTATGCATTATTTTTGTAAATATTAATCATTTTTAAAATTCGTCACATTTTTCTATGGCTGTTTTTTATATGTTTATTTCAGAAAAGCTTATTGATGCTAATATAGCATCAAATGCTTTTATAATGTTCACCGGCGGTCTGGAAACATTGTCTAGTTCTATGAGTTTTCGTCTATATGAACTATCGCTGAAAAAACATATCCAAGACAAAGCACGCAATGAAATTAGGTGTAAATTGTCTCAGCATGGTGGATCAATAACCAACGATTTTTTGTCTGAACTTAGCTACTTAGGCATGATCATAAACGGTATTCTATGTACTATTACTAATACTTTACTCTCCTAACCTCATCCGCTATTTTTTAACCGTGATTTTAGTATTTTCGCTTATATATATATACTCGAGCAACACCAAATAATTTAGCTTATAGTATAATAAATATTATTTTTTTTTTGTTGATTTGTGTTACCCCGGTAACAGAGATGAAAAAAAAATTGTGGGTAATTATTATTTGAAATTAGTCGGAAAATATCATGTGGTCATTAAAATCGGTTTAGTCGTTCTTGAGTTATAAATGGTGTAACTAACCCGACTTTGTTTTATTGATATAAGATTTTTGTTTATTCAAGGGTTGCCACGGAAAAGAAAACTATTATAATTATTTTTATTAATTACACTATTCAAATTTCACAATAGAATACATTTAGTCCGCTGAAGGTGGACTATTCACTTTTCACCTATTTGTGTTTATTTAATTCTAACACGGACAAAACCAAAAATGATAATAATAATAATGCAAATTGGCAAGGGCAACGCGGGGCACGAGACAGCTAGTTTTCTTTAATAGTATTAGTTTAATATTGTAACTATTTTCCAGTTTTACCTACGTTTTTCTCGGTTTTCCAAAAAATGAGATTTTTAAAGTTCCTCCCCAGTCAGATTTCCTTTTAAAAAATGTGATATCATTGTAAATCGGAGGAAAATTGCTGGTAGAAAGTTGGTCACAGATAAAAAAAAAAATAATCATTAAAAAACCAATACATTCCTCGCTCCACTCAGAATCTAAAATTATTATGTTACGTAATTTTTTTAATCTTTTTTTAAATAAAATAATTTTATTTATCCTACCTGTCAAACTATCCACCTATAACAGTGGTCGAGTATCAGTTCTTTAATTTTAGATTCTGAGTGAAACGAATTAGTGCATGGTTATACAAAGATGTTTATTTTTATTTTTATAGATAACTTTTCTACTAGAAATCTTGCTCCGTTTTTTAAGTGTAGCACTTTTTCAGAAAGTAAATCAATGTGGGAATGTTCTTCAAGGAGGTCATTTTTCGATTCTACAAAGGAGTTTTTTCAACAAATTTGAAAAACCCAAAGAAAATTGAGGAAAAACGGGAAGCTTATGAGCTAAGATATTTGAGCTATCATAGGGTGTCGATCGAAATTATTTTGTTGTATTTGTATTTTAGATTCTGAGTGTATTGAAAAATGTATTGGTTTTATAAAGATGTTTAATGTTTTTTTTTTTTTTTTATCTTGTGTACACAAATTCTACCAGAAATCTTGCTTCAATATTTACGCGCGGAATCATTTCTGAAAGGAATTATTGTTCAGATGGTACTTTTGGGAGGTCATTTTTTGATTTTTAAAGCGGTTTTTTTTATAAAATCTGGGAAAAACTAGGATAAAACGTAAGAAAAACGAGAAGTTAAAAAAATAATGCTTTTATTAGTATTTCAATTTTGTTATTTTTTTGTAAGTCAGTAAGTCAGTAAGTCAGATATTTGTAAAGACTAAACATGTGTACAGAAAACTTATATTTACTTTTTTAGTTATGGTAAAATTTTCAAAATATTTGAGCCATTTCTAGGTTTTTTGTAAACATTTTAATTTTAAATGTTAAATTTATATCTGTAACCGAACGATCAAACATTATTAACGAAAAATGATTTGAAGCGACGTTTAGTTATACATGTTTTGAAAAACCTTAGTATTTACGATTTTCGTCAAAATTTGATATTAAAATTACGAGTTACGAAAAACTGGGAAAAAATCTAGGAAATACGTCAAAGTGTAAGGTATTTGTTTTTTTTGTTGATATTCGGTTCAAAATTATTGTAGAGACTCATATTATTGGCTTTTTGTAGACGTGGTAAATACATTCTTTCTCTTCACTTCAATGTAGGAAACATTGCCTTTATATATGTAAATCATTAAAACGGTCAGTTTTTTTTAATATTTTAAATAGTAATATTATATTTAATCATGGGTAGGCACCTATTTGACTTGAAGTATGTACAGCTTGTAAACACACTAAACTGTATCCTTTGTAAAATGTACACTGGTGAAGCCGGGTAATACAGCTGGTTTGAAACTATGTATTGTAGTTACGTGGAGTTGGTCCCCCGGAATTAAAGTTATGTTTCCTCAGTACGGTTAAATTTAAAACATTTCATCGATTTTATTCGAATATTTATTTGAATGAATTGTCATAGCATGATTTTATTCAAAAATTTTGTTTTTCAATTAATATAAACTAGCTATATTCGTTGCCCATGTTTTACGACTAATAAAATGACCGTTAAGAATAATAATTGCTTTGTTTTTATTCTCAAAAAAGTTTTTTTTTAATGTCTACTTAAAAAATCTTTTTATTCTTTTATTTATATATAAAAAAAAAAAATGATTTTCTTGTTCATAGTGACTAGGTATAATAAATTAATTTTCAATAAAACCGTCTTTACATGTATGATTCACTATTCCCCCATTTTGGTGCTGGAGTTTGGACAGTTTAAATACGAAAATTGAATTTAGTTTATTAATCGAACTCATGTTAACTGTTTTGAGTGTTCCCTTGATCATTGTTTTGATGTTATGTATTGAAATTTATGGTATTTTCGTTTAAAGTTTTGTATTGTTACACATTCGTGATTACGTGGTGTGCGATGCTTGATCGCGCAAAAGTTGATAAACACTAAATATTCGAAAAATAGTATTTAAGCTTATTATTAATATATTACGTGTGTGGATATTTACTCACTAAAAAATTAAAATATTGAGCTTCCTAGGACAATTTCTTCGTCCTCCTATAAGGTGGTAAAGTTTCCTATTTAAAATACATTGGTTTTTTCGTTTATTTTGAATTTTGTTTGTTTAATGCCTCAAAAATTAACGTACAATTTTTCTAAGAATTATATGCCACTTTCTTTCTGTTGATTAAACATATAGTGGCATATAATTCTTGAACAACTTTTTTTGGGAAACTTTACTTCGTTACAGGAGGACGAAAGAATTGTCCTAGGAAGATCAAATAGGGCTCAATATTTTTATTTTGTTTTCTAGAACAAAGTTAGAGGGCGTCCAAAATGAAATTCCCCTATCACCCAAATAAGAACCACCCTAATGTAAATAGTCAAATAATTTAAATGATACTCTAAAATATGGTCTTAATCTATATTTTCGTTGTCAATTAGGGGCCTTTGAATAAGTTAATTTTTAGTTATTAGAACATACTTCTCTAAACATGTTCACTAAATATTTCGTCGCTTTTATTTCTGGAGCAATTTACAAGTGGCTTTACTTCGTCCTCTAAAATATTAAAAAGCACGTCCATTTTGATGTACTACTCAACATCGACTGACCAACATTTTGTAATTCCAAACCACACAATTATAATCATGCAGCACATGTATAAAAGCACCACGCTATTACGGATGCGTCAATGTAGGAAACTAAGGCTTAACAGTCTCTTGTATTTGTGTCACTGTTATATTACAATGCGTACATAAAATATGTAATTATACGTACATAATAACCACATTTTGATATTTAGAAACACTCCGGAAGTACCCTACAGTCCACGCTTTGTTTAGAGAAGCATCACAAACATATCATAATGTATATTAGATATTGCTAAAGGACAAAAGATAATAATTCCAACTTATTAACTGCATTTAAATCCAGAGTATTATTCTGATCCCGAAGTTTTTGACCCGAAGAGGTTTTCACCGAAGAAAAAGATCAATGGTCTCAATGGTACATATATTCCATTTGGGAATGGACCACGGATGTGTTTTGGTAAAATAAATCACTACACAATTCTATATTTTTATGATTATAAATTTATTTGTTATTATAATATAAGTTAATGTTGTTTTTTATAGCGAAACGCTTTGTAAGTGTTACGTTGAAAATTGTTCTAATTGAAGTATTATCAAAATACGAAGTGGAACCAAACGAGAGAATACAAATTCCTATTACATTTGATAAAGGTTCTTTAGTAGTTTTGCCAGAGAGTGAAGTTCAGTTAAGACTAAAGTTGATGATGATAACGCGTTGAAAATTGAGTATTGAAATTAATTGTATACCGCATTATTATATTCATTAACCAAATCTATAATAATATATTATTTTTAATAAATTTGTTTGGTACAATATCGTGAATATTACATTAATGTTATTTTGTTTTTAGATATGCTGATTTACGAGTATTGATAAAAACCTCATAGGGCGCAGTAAATGTTCTCTTAAATCCTCCATTGCTGTCGGTTTGAACGAAAAAAAATGTTTCTCTAGTGTACATTAGATGCTCAGTACAAATTTGGTTTCCGAATACTACAAATACAGACTTTAGGCCTCAAGAATGATGATTTAAAAACAATACTTGGGCACATCACGTAATCTTCTTAAAAATGTCTGTATTTTTTTTTGGACGTTTAACCAGTACTCCAAAAATGCATCTCAGTGCCATTAATGTTTGTTTTGAGTGGGTGATGTTAGTATTTATTAGTTTGTACCCGTAAGGCCATAACTAAAAGCTAGTGTAGAATTTGCATAGGATAAAGTAATATCTTATAAGACTATACAACTTTATATTCCTACCTTTTCAATTTCCCAACTACAACAGTGAGCTACTCATGTTTTTTTTCTCCGTTTATAATTGTATTTAGTCAATATTGAAAGTGTTTTCTATTTCATGTACAGGGTGATTCACTAAGTGCGCTAATTCCATTTTTTTTCGTTAAATTTTGCATATATTAACTGCAAGTAAAATTTCAAAAGTCAGAATTTGAATACATTCAAAATGTAAATAAACAAATGGAGCAAGAACGATTAGTGAATCATCCTGTATATGTTGTGTTACTCTGTAAGTTTTACTCACTATGCTCTTTACACTGCCAGTTAGGTAAGATAGATTAGGTTACATTCCTAACCTAGTTTTTTTCATTTTAACCATTTATAATTTTATTAATACACACATTCTCATTAATTCCATTAACTATTTTATTGATTGCATTTTTTTTTTTATTCATTTTATTTTTGGTATTATTAGGTTAACTTTAACATACAATTTTTATTAGACTCTTTACATCGTTATTTAAATTGTTATTTGGTAGGTACCTGTTATGAAAACTGTATGACTTAAGAGAATTCTTAAAAATTTAACATAAGGCACATTATAAGTTGTTATCTTCTCAATTTCTCACCTACAACAGTTGCTGCACCCGCCCCAAGTATCAGCTATTTTTATATATTTTTTTTTAATATTTTGCTGCGTACCAACAGATTAAACAGTATCGGACAGCTAGGTTAATATAACAAAACAAAATTACTCGTTTGTTGAAAGTTTAGTTTTTTTTTGTTGGTTTTTTGAATAAATTATATTTTAACAAAAAAAAAAAAAAAAAAATGTATGTTATATAAAATTTTAAAACGCATTATCAAACTTAACTGTCTAACAGTTGAAAATATCGAAAATACAAGAACAAAATCAAAGGATTTTGACAATAATAATAATGGTAATTATAACAATGTCTAAATAAAGAAATAATAATAATATTATAGTAAGTTTGATTGAAAATGAAAACGGTCAACCTAAACGTTGCATTTCGTATTTTCGTATTTATGTTCTGTACTTATAATATTATATACCTAACATTACGGTAGGTACTTAAAAACATAATTTATAATCGAATATTATAAAGTAGTTATTTTGAAAAATTACAACGCAATACAGTACAATATTTAATAATAATAATAATAATAATAATAAAAATACAAACCAATCGTACATCTATAATTATTATTAAACGTTAAACAATTTACCTATACCGTATGATTATAATTATGTTATTATATGTATATATTTACACACATCAAACGTCTAATACCTATACGTATATAGATATTATTATTATAAGAGAGTGCAGAGTACCACTAATGTTATTATTATTGTATTTACACTAGGGAAACTACAACAATACTATGTATATGGATGACCAAGGAATAAAAAGAATAAACCGTGTTTGTCGTGGAGACGAGGACACGTGTGATATTATCAAAAACGTACAGTGAATTGCGCGACCGGGACAATAAAAGATACAAAAACAACAAACAACAACCGAAAATCCGGTGTTCCGGGGGGGGGGGGACTCGTTTAGTTTGGGGAGTTCGGGTGGTAAAATGTGTCAGGGGCGGATGATTATTTCGATATAATACGCCGGTTTGTTTACCCTTCTATTAATTCATATTATAATAATCGAAACCCTTCGAGAAAGCCGTTTTGTTTCCCAAATATTATAACAAATATAATAACATTATAGTATCATATGTATCAATTGGTATCCCAATGTCGGGTTACTTTTTATTTTATTTTTTTTTTTTTTTTGGTCTTGATTTTTCACTCATGCACTATGGTTGTTTAGGCCTCCCCCCAAAAGCCAAAATCCTAAAAAGTACATCTCGGTAGGGAGAGGGGTATTTTTTAAACACAATCAGTCGAGTCTAAGTGCACGTACGCGATAATAATAATTATGCGTGTCGCGTACATAGTACCCGACGAATATATTATAATATTATTCATCGAGCTCGTTTAGAGAGGATGCTATACGTCGTTGCACAATAACGAGACAAAATACCGAATATGTAAAAAAACAAATCTGTTCGAAGTACCGGCTTATCAACGTCCTATCGAAATATGATTATACTATAATAATATTGATAACTATTTTGTACCGTCGACCTCGCGTTTTCTTTTTCGATATGCAGATATAGAAAATCTTTAAAACGTCTACGAAAATACGGATATCCGGTTGGGGAGGGAAGGGTATTGACTTTGTGTGGATACCGAAGTATTTAATATACGAACGGCAACAGTTGTCCGGGTGTGTGTACCGTAATAAAAACAACTGACCGAAATCGGGTGTATTTAAAAAAAAAAAAAAAAATTAACTAATGCCATTTGAGACGAAAATACATCTAGTCATAAGTCAAAATACATAAGCCTTTTTTAAACGATTATTCCATAGACTATAGTATATATCATTATGTTTGATAAAACAACCAAAACATTTTCGTAAGTTTATACTATATAAATGAGACAATCGTATTGGCTCGTGGTAAAAACAAAACCACTCCGTATAATAATATAGTGCATTCCGCGAAAAAGTAATACATTCGAAAGACGACGTGTGTTATGCATAATTTGTTGTACAAATATTACGTTGTACACACGATTATAATTTATTATTATTACTATTACTAATTTTATCAGAGTAATGTACACGCCACCGAGGAGTCGATCCGAAAAAAATGGATAAAAGAAACTACTAAGGTTTGATCCCTCCTTCCGTACTTATCGCCGAGAATAACGCGGATTTCGGATTTGTACTCATCACGCACTACTTGCTTATGCGGAAACCACTCGAAAATGCCACGATATTATATTTTTCACTAGGGACGACAAAAAAAAAAAAAAAGGAGCAAAAAAACTTCAGCGTTTTTCAAAGTTAAGAAATCCGGATTTAGGTATACGCGTTCAATCTTACACACACACACGTATACATTATATATGTGACCATAATAAGTCGTTAATATTCTAAACGCGATAGTTTATGTTGGGTAGGTACCGTAAAAAAGGATTTCTTTTTTCTTTTTTTTATAGCAAACTCAAACGATAAAACACACGAGAACGCCGCATTATTTTCATCGTATATTATGTTATAGTCGTCTAGTGTATATGTTTGCCCTCCTCTCCCCCCAAAAGTTGAGAAATGACGTTCAAAATTTATGACCGCGGCCGGGTAGCGAAAATATAATTGAAGTATCGCAGTATTGCTGTAATTATGCGCTAACAAATACGACTAATATGCTCTAAAAATAAAAATAAAATTATCAATTTTTGTTCATTGTACTTTTTTTGTACCGTTATTTTAATTATGACATAAATCATGGTATTTCATCTGTAACGAACTATAATTTTGTAATGATATTGTTATTTCACGAAGTTATAAAATAATTGAGGAATTTAGTAGATACCTAATTACAATATTAAAAAACAAATATATACAGAGTGTCCTATAGAGATAAATCCATTTTATTATCTTCGGAAATATTTAAGATAATTAAATTCAGTTTTTTTTTTTTTTTTTTATTACTCACAAGGATGAGGACTAAATATTTTTTTTTTTAGTAAAAATTTAAAATAAATAATTTAAAATAATTTTTGATTTTATTATTTTCGGAAAATTTTAATATAACTATTCTGTAGAGTTTATATTCCTAGAAATTATTCATTGGATATAAATGTGTGATGTATTAAAATTTTCAGAATAATAATCTTTATAGAATGGCTATTTTAAAATTAGTAAAATAAAGTTATATTTAAATGTTTTTAATAACAGAAAAAGACTTAATTAAAAAATAAATATTTTTAGTCCTCATTCCTGTGAGTAATATAAAAAAAAAAAAACAGAATTTGATTATCTTTATTATCTCCGGAAATATTCAAGAGGTATATCTTCGTGGGACAGCCTGTATATGTATTGTTATATAGTATATTATACCCGTGGCTCATACACTTTATTATATTATATTATTTGAGTATAAGGTATTTTTTATTTAAAATTAAGTTTATTTTCCACACATTTTCTTGGCCCATGTGCAGTTCGACTATTACCTTTTTGTTATTTTTCAACCCGATTGCAATTCGATTGACGTATTAAGCGTGATTCGGCTCAGGTCAAGCCTCTACGATTTACCAATACTGTATTTTCGTAAACGGATTTCCACGACAAATTCGATCTTATCAATCTCTCCGGAAATATTAATAATAAATAAATAAATAACGGTAATAATTAATATTTGGCGCGTACTCCCCGGCAGTCACCGCTATAAAACGCGATAAATTATTAACAATGTTATTTTTAAAATATTTCGTAAAAATCACCGGAAACTAAAACACAATAACATCGATGATCGATTGTAATAATATATAATTAATAATATCGTAAAAATGTATATCCGAATAAAATGCGAATACAATAATAATTAATAATATACCACGGTTTATGTATATAGTTATAAATCGGGCGGGTATACGTAAATATTATGTCAATAATCACAATGTAAACGGGTTTTTTTTTCTTACAATATTTTCTTACAATACACGCGCTATATAAATATTATACATTATAATTTATAAATATTAATTTATTATAACGTAAAAAAAAAAGCGTTTCTAAATAATATTATTAATTATTTCTCGTTAATGTTTAGTAATGTCAGTCTGTATTTTATTTTTTATTTCTTATTGTTTAACAACAATAATAATATATTAATAATATTGTTCCATTACGATCGTACATCGTCGTATATTTATCATACAAATTTAGAATATTCCTCCCCCCCAGTTATAATAGAATACCTGTATAGGTATCAAGAACAATGACACTTTATTTTTATTGTAAAATTATTGTTAATATTTAAATAATTTGGTACTCTATTGATTCCTCTAGTATGTAATAACGTATAATATAATTTACCCTCTAATAATGAATGCATAATATTATTTGCATTTCGACGACACTATATTGTACTATTTAGTGTAGGGTTTTAGTTTTTTAGTAGTTCAAAAATGTTTTAGTAAAGATCAGTTGACGAAATCTAAATGCGTGCGATTAAGTCTATTGTGTATATTATAATTTATGGGCACTCGACAATATTATCAATGTATTAATATTTGTATGTAAACGACTCGGAGTCGTATAATATGAAAAAAAAAAAATATTTTACTGTATTACATTAAGTAATATATAATCGTACATCGTCCCATTTCCCATCGTCCAAGTTTCATCGCGATTTTACTTTATAGTTGTGAAACTTGGGCGATGGGAAAATATCACGAACGTGAGTGGTTGGAGGTGATGGAAATGATGTGGTTGTAGCGAAGAATGACGAGGACCGACTGAGTGGAAGAGAAAGCAATTGACGAAGCAATCCCAGAAGAATTTAATAAAAAAGAACATACTTTTGTATCCAACACAACTCAATACGGGGAGAAAAATGAAATTAACTGGTCATTTGACGAGCCATAATAATTTCATTTACCAATACCGTGTGAAAGGGAGAGTGCAAGGAAGGAGGCTACGAGGTGAGGCCCGCAAATCAATTTTCAATGATATCGAGCAGCCGATGGGATGTTTATACAGTCTGTGACTCATGACAGAGAAATTGGCTACAATGACAGAAATTAAGACAAAATGGTAATGATGATCATCATACGATATTACAATATATCTAATATTATTGTGTGTAATAGATTTTACACGTCTATAAAAATATTATTACATGATTTATATGTATATTTTATCTAAAAACGTATTAATTCAATGTGTAAGACAAATAATATATTATAACATTATAACATACAATATTATCAGAAGACGTCAAAGTTGAGCTTTTAAAACTGGAAAAAAATAAAAATCGTAAATACCTATAAATAATATTATAAAAATCGAAATTTGTTTTATGAAAAAAAAAAAAATAAATAAAAATAAAAACGATATGAGCTTCTCTTTTATACGCACAATACTAGAGATAGAAAAAACATAGCTATACAAAATTTTTTTATATATATATATTCTCGTCATAATAAATGTATCTAAAAAAAAAATTACGCATAGTAATAATAATAATAAAATAGAGTCATAATATGTATTTATAAATTGATTGTACACTATATATTAATTAATGTATCGAAACGTATATTTTTCGATTTATATATATATATATTACTCGTGGATAGCGTGAACTCGTTTATACCTAGATAATATAACGATAACCGATACAGAAAAAAAAAGCTACAAATATATAAATATATTTTTTTTATTTTTTTTTATCCATGATTATCATATCAATAAACTCTATACGGTATTTATAACTGACCCTACGTTAAGGTCGTCCGATTAATTTTTTTTGTATAATAATTGACACAAGAACCTCGGCTATTTTAAACCGTGCCTAAAGTACAGGTAAATATAAAATCACGCATATAAACTGCGCCAGAGTTTTTATTAAGTGCAAAAATAACATGTAAACTGCGTCTGAGTAAAGTAAAAATAAACAAAATTACAAAATAATCTCTAATTTATAATAGGTACATATAGATCGGTACAGCCATATTATAAATAATTTTTAGTTAATACTCGGTTTGTTACGTGATTAATTAATGAAATAAAATAAACAATTTAAAAATATATGATTTTAAAACATACAACATTATGACAATTAATACCATATTGTTGATACATATTGTTCAATTACACCACTATTATATTTATTAGTTAAACTTGGTATCTTTTTGTTTATACTATTTAATTTAATGTATATTTTTACTTGAATCTCTTTTTACTTTTATATAAATTAAAAATATTTAGATGAGTCATTAAAAAAGAAGAATTTGAATGAGCATGAAATGATATGCATCCATTAGTGGTTTAAGTTCAAGTTACATAGGTAATGTTAGTGCGATAAAGACTAAATATGCTCCGGATTGTTAAACCAATAGTCGATAACAAAGATGATAATGATTAACTACGCTAAATAATCGAAAATAAAATCATAGGATTTTGAAAAAAAAAAAACACGAACACTGAGAAATTTCCATAAAAAGCATTTACAAAATTGAGATATCCACTTTTTATAAAAATGTATTAAATATGCGTAAATATGATTTCTTAATTTAAAAGTTTTATATTTATAAACGGGACGCAGTTTACATTATACATTTTTAACATAGATAAAAATTCGGTTGCAGCTTATGACAAAAAAATGTCATTTGGGCGCAGTTTACGTATGTCCTAAGAACCTAATTTATTGTATTATAGGTATATTATTTAATATAAATTAGCACTTTAATAAATTGACGTTAAACAAGTATGATTCGATCGCGTACAATAATGTTATAAAAAAAAAAATCTTTTAAGAGGCCGGATTAACGGGCCCCGGCGTGCCGGTGATTGTGGTGACCGGGAGGGGGGGTGGAGCGAAGGTAAAATATAAGGGGGTTTCGATAATTACTCTCTAAAATTTCACGAAGAAATATAGCGAAAATTTGAATCTACATTTACACGTTTGTACAACTATTGTAAAACATTCCGTACTTATATGTTTTTATAATATTTATGACGACAAAGTAAACCCTTCTTCCGGGGGACTTACCCCTCACTCGCCACCCCTCTTAATCCGGCTCCGATTATACTCGTATACTCTAGTATATACAAATTATATGTATTATATAAACGTATCGATGCATTAAAAATAGTGAAAATATAATAACAGACGGCCGAGGCAATGTTAAATTGTTGTGTGTACTACGCGTTCAGAAGCGATAAATATAACATATTATTATGGTTAATTAAAAAAACCATTCGAATAGGGACTTAAGTATACATTTATTATACACTCGTCTCTTTCGAAACTTTATACTCAATATAGGTACGATATAACATTATATTAAAATAAAGTGATTATTGTAAAAACTGTTTAATTTTGGGATTTTTTTTTTTTAAAATCTTTTATTATTATTATTATTGTCTACTATGACGAAAAAGACGCTTATTATTATTATTTTATTTTTTATTTTTTTATAGTCGAGCGCATTCATTATTGCAGCTGCAGTCGTATACACTCTGAGATAATTTCACCGTCTCTCATCAGTCGCGACGACAAACTTTATAAAAAAAAAAAAAAAATGACAAGTTTCGCCAGCAGTGCTACTGACAAACAACCTTTTGTCTTTGAGGGGGCCGATGGGATTCAAAGTTTTCGGAACCGCGAAGCGTTTCGTAAGTTTTTTGCGCATCAAACCGTCCGTCGTCATCATCATTATCGTCGTCATAATTGACCGCCGAGGTTGAACGAATCGATTTTTGGAAGCCGAAAAAAAAAAAATCCCCACGACGAACAATAATATTACTTCGTTTACAAATTGGATTTAGTGGCTTTTACTACAGGATTACAACGATTAAAGTAACATTTTTTATTTATTTTTTTTTTTATAACAATAGGTTTATTGGATTATCTTGTATTATCTGTAAAAGATCAAGAAGTCAAAGTTTTCCGTATCAACAAATACCTGCTTGTAACATATAATCTTATTAATGGGTTGATTTGAAATGTCGGACAAGTTACTTGAAATTTCTATAACATATTAAGTTAGGGTAGTTGAGTAATACATTATAAGAAAAAACCTAATAAAATTAGACTGCGGAAGTATGGAAGATGGGGTTTTTTGAATGTAAAACATTTACAATTTAATTAGGAGTCATACGGTGTAAACAATATATTCGTACAACTATTGAGTCAGATTTTTTTTTTCTGAGTTTCTCTCTAATAACTTGTTGGTCGTTTGAAAATTTAATTAAATTATCCAGTCAAGTTGTTTCAAAACTGATTTTATCGAAAACTTTTTTCTCTAGCCGTATTAATTATTATTATTAGTAAGTAAGTAGGTAGGTATTTTGAAACAAAAATCGAATAAACGTTTAAAGGTTGGCAATATTAGTAGTATACATTTTCAAAATCGATTTGAATAAAAAAACCTATAATACCAACACAACCGTAAATTAAGTTTTCTTTTCGAGTCATATATAAGTAAACTAAGTTATCCAGAACCACGCTGATTAAGCATTCAAAATATATCAATAGCAAAAGTAATTACTCGACTTAGTTCTAACTAATTTTCTAACTATACTACAGCTATAGTTAATGTCTAGGTTTGCTGGTTTGGTGTAAACGACCAATTGAATAATATTTGTGTAATTTTATATCGTTCGTCATGGAAAAAATTCCACGCCTTATCGGAGGAAAAAAAGTTAACCAATCAGTATAGACCGGGTATAGAAAAATAGGAAAAAAAAAAAAACTGAAAACGAGATATACGACTGCAGATGTCATCGCGTATAAAGTGTTGAATAATAATAATATTACTGCGATCGTCCGAGAAAACCGTCTTTTCGTCTCTCCCTCTGAAACCTTTTCCCTTTATTACCTACACCTAGGTACCTAAAATATTTTGTTGGATCGGCGTCAAAGGGGATTTATGACGAAAGTATTTCAAAGAGGGTAGCGGTGGCGGCGGTCGGGTTTGTACGAGTTTGGAAAGATCGCGTTCGTTGCCGTACCCGTCGTCTTAAAGTTTGACACCCTGTAGTAGTTTGTCGTCAACGCATTTCTCTCTCTCGAAAAAAAGAAAAGTTTTTTCGTTTTTTTTTTTTTTTTCAAAAATGTTATTTGTCGTCTAGACGCGATGAATAATTTTTTGGCAGCCCGTACACCCATTCACGTCGCTACATCCTCTTTTCCTCCCTCGTATATAAATACCCACCCGATTTGACGTGTCCATTTCAATAGTAGTATAATAATTAATAATAATAATAATAATAATAATAATAATAATAATAATAATAATAATAATAATAATAATAGTTAATAACGACGGCTGCCGTAGTATCGGTAATATTAATGACAATGACGAGTGATACGCGTTGTCAATGAATTATCATCGTTTCCATCAGCTGTAGTGCGGTCCTTCCGAAGTCCTGTGCACCAGCGCTTTATGCTGGACGATTTTGGCTTCGCTCGCCCGCCGGAATGCCAGCCGTTTGGTATGCGCCGTTGTCGTTGTTCCGGCGGCGGCGGTCATCACGGGGGCGCCAGCGGCCGGCAACGGTTTCGGTCCGCTCGCACCGTCCGGCGACGCGTCCGTGATGGTGATGCTCACGTTGCTAGCCAGTTGCTTTCGGTTCCGGTCCGCATCGCCAGTTCCCTCGTCCTGCAACGATAGCGGCAGCATTGCGTTGGGTTTGGCCTCGGGTGACGGTTCGCTGATGGTGATGTGCACGGGCCCGCCTTCGTCCACACTGTACGTCGTCATCGTCACGTGTTGTGTTCGTGCAACAAAATATCAAGAAATCGGTTATATTACAGAATATACAGTCAGACGGCTAAACAGAACGATCGATCCTCGACCCAAAACATTCGTTTTCTCGGATTTTTTTTGGAAAATTTTAGATACAAGCAGCTCTAACATGTTCCAAAATCGTTTTACTTAAAAGTTAAAACATGTTACTGTTATCTTTACTGTATCCTAAACCGTTTACCTTCTTTTAGTTTTCAAATAGCAACGTATAATACGGATTCCGTTCATGGATGACATTTTAGTTTAATTACATTAAATATATTAAATTTTTGGGGTTGAAATGTTTAACTTCCGATCAACGCCGCGTGCCACGCTGTGACACAAATGATGCTCTATTATCCTCCCTGTATTCAAATTTATAGTGGAATATCTTGTCAACGGATTGTCGGAAATTGAAAATTTCAATCCCAAAATGTATTTAAACTAAAACTTTGTCTATTTAAGGAATTTTCAGTATAATAGATGCATTTAAAAGTTAAAAGTGGTTTCACCCTTGGAAATAAGGGTGATTAAAAATAACGGCAACGTGACATTTCACAGCTATTTGTTTCATACATATTCTAAAAAAAAGTTTATACTTTCCGAGATAATGCGTGGCTTATCGAGGATTGATCATTGTATCAACAATTGTATAATTAATGTGTTCCGGTAAAATAATTTTTTTAGAAAGTATTACAAATCGAA